CTTGCGTTCCTCTTGACTCAGCCTCCTTAATGCTGGGATTACAGCCTTGTGCTACCACACCCAGCTGATGTACTCATTTCTTAAAACTACAGAATCCACAAACTGGTCTTGTTTCCTTCTGTTAATATTTTGTATTAATGAAGATTATTTTTTCCAGCAGAATAAGCTGTATTTAACATTCAGAAAACTTAAAATTAACTATTAAGGCTGCTGGGTATGGTAGCACATGCCTGTAATCCCAGCACTCAGGAGGGTGAGGCAGGAGGATCACTGTGAATTCGAGAACAACCTGGAATACAACATGAGTTCAAGGCCAGCATGAACTGCATAGTGAAATCCTGTCTGAAAAAGGATAAATAAATAAATAAATAAATAAATAAATAAATGGAACAGCTAACTCCTTGTGGGAAATTACTAATTTTGGAAGTGTATTTTCTGTGAGAGAAGGGTATGTACTCTGCACTCACGATGCAGATTTTTTTCAGGCATATTGTTTTATTTTTTATTAGCTGAATTAATTTCAGCATACCAACATCTTTTTTTTAAGTATATAGTTCATTGAGTTTGCGCAAATGAATTCCCCACTTCAGTCATGATAATACTCAGAAGACTCCTTTGTACCTCTTTACAGTCACTCCTTACCCCATTTCTTGTCAAGGAGACCACTAATCTGTTGTTTATTACTGTTCAGCTTCATATAAGTGGGATTATTAGCAGGGGCGCTGTGGTGGTCTCCTCAGGGGTCCTTTCTAGATTCAGTCTCCTGAACAAAGAATTGGACAGGAAATGAAGCAGCGAAGTTTTACATTTATTAAAAGTATTAAAGGTAAGAGAACAAGCAAGAAGTGATTTAAAAAGAGATGCTCCACAGAGTGAGTGCAGGCCAATTAAAGTAGGAAAGAAAATATGCTCTACATGCAGAGTAGGCCACTGAGAAAGAAGGCTGCTGTGTTTATACCCCCACTCTGATGTCAGATCTAGGCTGTTGTATTAAAAACCTGCTTGACCTGTGCCAGAAAAATTGAAGCCAACATTCTCTGATTGGTGTCAGGTCCAGGGCTTGGAAGCCATACTGCACATGTCCTGAATCTCCATAACTGACAGGTCATACGCTCTTGCCCAGTTGCTCTGCCATGCCCTCATCTCCTGCCTTAGAATCATGTGATACATGTTCTTTGTATCAGAGTTCTTTTTCCAAACATAATTTTTTGAGATTCATTTCTGTTGATGCATGTATCCGTTTTTAAATCCTTTTTAATTGCTCAGTAAAAGCCGGGCGTGGTAGTCCATTCCTATAATACCAGCACTTGGGAGGCTGAGGCAGGAGGATTGTTGTGAGGCTATCCAGGGCTACGTAATCAAGTTCAAGGCCATCGTGCACTATATAGTGAGACCCTGTCTCAAGAAAACAAACAAACAAAAAAAAATTAATTGCTCAATAAAATTCTACCTAAAGTTCTATACCCAGTGGAAATAGGCCTTAAAATGAAAATAAAGTTTGAAAATTCAGGTACAAAAAAGACAAAATGCAAATAGCCCAAAAAGGAGCTAGTGTATCTGTATAATACCAGATAAAATAGTAACTCCAGTCAGAAGTATGAAGAAAGAGCTCCTAAGAGTCACAGCTGTGAGAAGATAAATTCTAATCCTTGTATACTTAGTAACATATTACAAAGCAAACATAGACAGAACTAAAAGGAGAATTGGACAAATCAACAATCATAATGGTAGACTTTAACACATTTCTTGTAATAACTGAGAGAATATGCACACACATAGTTGTGAATATAGAAGGTTAGAAGAACATGATCAATTAATTTGACAAAATAGACACACAAAATACTCTACCCATTGCATTGACCAAATTGGCCATATTTGGAGGCACGTAACAAGTTTTAAGTTTTAGGGCAGAAGGATCATGAGTTCAAGGCCTGTCTGACCAGTATAGTGACCCCTCTTCTGAAAACAAACAAGTGATTTTTAAAATTAGGGGATTGAGATTATACAGATTATATTTTCTTTTTTTTTTGTTTGTTTTTTTTTTGTTTTTCTCCGGTACCGGGAACCGAACTCACGACCTTGCGCTTGCCAGGCAGGCGCTTTTGCCGCTGAGCTAAATCCCCAGCCCCCAGATTATATTTTCTAACCACATCAGAATTGAGCCATAAATCATTTATATAAATATTACTAGAAAATTTCTGTATGTGTGGAAAATAGTAATAGACTGCAGAATAACCCGTTACAGGTGAAATTGCAGTGAAAATTAGAAAATATTTTTCATTGCATAATAATGAAAATATAATCTACCAAAGCTTTCCACATATATGTAACACCATATTTTAAAGAAAATTTATGACCTAAAATGCATGTATTAGATGAGAGGTAAAGCTGGGAGTTTAGAAGTCAGATCTCAGCAGACTTTAAAGGACTAAGTAGTACTAGCCTTGTAGGCCAAGTGGTCTCTGTCACAACCATTTAGTGATACATTTTATCCACTAAAATTGAATGTGGGCCCAGCGTGGGTGGCACACAACTGTAATCCCAGCACTCAGGAAGCTGAAGCAGGGGGATCACTGCAAGTTTAAGGCCAGCCTGAGATACATAGTGAGTTCGTAATGAGGTTCAGCCTGAACTTCTTAGCAAGACTATGCTTCAAAACCAAAACAAAAAAATTAAAGGGAAGCTTAATGACAATGAATCATCAAACAGACCTTTGGGATACCATCCAGCTTACTAACAGATGTGTCATGAAAATCCCAGGAGAGGAAAGGACAAAGAGCACAAAAAAGGTTTGAGGAAGCAGTGGCTGAAGATTTCCTAAAATAGAGAATGTTAATCTACACATTCAAGAAACTAAATGGACTTCCATGAAGTGTAAATACAAAGATGCCAGGCATAGTGGAGCACACTTACAATTCTAGCACTCAGGACACTGAGGTAGAAGAAGCTCTGTGAGTTCCTGGCCAATGTGGACTCAGTGAGTTCAAGGCCAGCCTGAACTACGTGGTGAGACCTGCCTCAAAATCCGAAAACAAAACAGAGAGCTACACCTAGTCTGGTCTTGGTCATTTGCCTGAAAGGCTGTGACTTGTCCATGGTTGTATGGATAAAAGTTTGGAAACAACTTTACTTACAGAGAGATCAAAGACTTTGAATCCCTCCCACTACTGTCCTGAGTAGTATCCTATACCACAGATTTCTGAGCTTTTCTCTGGTTCTGCAGCATGTTGGAGTCTCCATGGAGTCTTCTGGTTGGCATTTTCTCTACTTGCTGCCTATAAATCTGCTATTTTCCAGAATTTTCTTGAAGTCCCTTCCCTAGTAGAATCTCCTTTCCTGTTCTTTTTTGTACTTAAGGGTAAGTTTGTTTGCTGTCATGTTAGCCGGATTTCAGGAGATGGTAGTGATTAAGCACACATTTTGCCAGGTTTAACTGGGAATTCTTCCCTGTGTGCTTATCAGCCCCTCAGTTTATTTATTTTTATTTATTTTTTTTGTTTTTTTGGTTTTTCTCGGTTTTTCTCCGGTATCAGGAACCGAACTCATGACCTTGCGCTTGCCAGGCAGGCGCTTTTGCCGCTGAGCTAAATCCCCAGCCCCCCTCAGTTTATTTAGTTGCTGTATTTGTTGGTCTGCTGTGAAAATTAGCCTTGGCATAGTGAAAGACCATTGGACTTTAAGTTAGGCAACTTTACTGTGTGTCAGGCACTATAATCAAGCATTTTATGTGATTCTTCTCAACTGATCCTTACGATTACTTGAAATAGGCACCATTGTTCACCTTTTTTAATGTTGAGCAAATGGATACTTAAGTGGGCAGGTACCACCAACAGTCAGTGTGTGGTGGAGGTAAAATTGAAACACATGCAGCCTGCCTGAGATCCTGTAGATGCCTGTTTTACTCTGCTTTCCCTGCCACCACTGAAGCCTTCCTACAGGAACAAAATGAAATCGTTGATTTTTGATTGCTTTTCAAATTGAAGAGCACCAAAAAATATATGAGACATTAAACTTAAGAAAAATACCACCGACTTCATTGGAAGACTTTCCAAAACTGTGTAATGGATACTTTTTTTCTTCTTGCTGCTGCGGCTATACTTTCCGTATGGACCCTCAGTGGGTTTTCTCTTTTTTGCCTGTTTTGACCTTTAATAGTCCCATAGAAGCAGACAAAAAGTACAAATGTTTAAAAATCTATCTTCAAACAGATAAAAGATAGTAGAAATCTAGAACATGTAAGTGGTTAATTTAACTGAAGAAACTAGGAAAGTTAAATTGCTTTCTGACACAGATGCTACACGAGTGCTTGACTAAAACATTGGAATATGTTTGCTTGAATGATCCTTAAAGTTTGTCTTAGCAGTGAAATTTTACCGTTTAGGGGTGATAACTTTCTCTGACCTGCCAGTTTAAATAAAATATTATTTTATTCCTAGGAGGAGTAGAAATGGGTAGGAGGCCATAAATGAATTTTAAAGAAAGGGGCAGTAAAGATTTTATCAGTGGAATACTCCAACCTAGTATTACGTTTATTTACTTTTGTTTTTTGAGTTCCAAAGGGTGGCCCTGAACTCGCTATGTAGCCTAGGCTGCCCTCAGACTGCCTCAGCCTCCCTAGTGCTAGGATTACAGGTGTACACTACCATGCCCAGCTTCCAATTTAATACTTTAAAGAATTGATAAACCTGAGCATAAGTGCCAGATTTCCCAGAATATGGTGTCTGGGCACAACCATGTAATCTCAGCTTCTCAAGAAACTGAGGGAAGAGGATATGAAGTTTGAGGCCAGTCAAGGTAACTTACGAAGCCTGTTGGAAGAAAATAAAAAAATCACCAAGGAAACGTGTGACTAACGTGTGGTTTGCTTTCAGCAGGTAAGGTAGCATACCCAGCAGCCATGAACTTGGCATTAGGCTTAACTCTTTCTAGGCTAAGGTAGAATTAAAGGAATGACTGGTTGTGCCAGTCTCCCAGTAACTTTGTTCTGTGCCTTCCTGTAGACTGGATCAGTCTCAGAGATGGGCCCATCACCATATCTGATTCCTCCGATGAGGAAGGGATTCCAATGCTGGTCACCCCAGTGCCCGAGCAGCATGAAGAGGACCTGGATGATGATGTCATCCTGACAGAAGTGAGTTTTCTTAAAACTACCATGGTGTGGGGCATTACTGCAAGTTAGTGAGCTTATTCTTCAGCTATTCTCTGTACCTCATAGAACAACTGAAAATATCTCCTCACCTTTCTACACCTCTGGGAACAGCCCCCTTTCGTTTCTACCCCTTGTCTCCTTGACTTTGGAAGCTTTGTCTCTCTTTGGACCTCTGCACCATTGTACATGCACTAGCCCACACTGTCTTACAAAAGCTCTAATATTGTAATGTGTCTTACCGTCCAGTAGAACTGAGTAACCCATAGTTTCAGAATCATCCTAGGTATTCTTAAACTTTATTTTTATGTGAATTTCACAATCAGGTTTTCTGCTTCCAAAAGATAATTAATTTGTCTAAATTAAAACAAATCTTGCCATATTTATAAAATAGTTTTAGTATATGTGCTGCCAAAGCGAGCACTAAAATAGTTTATACAATATTCTTTCTAAACCAGAACAAGTTTAGAGTAAGTTTTGTCTTTTCATGTCATGTAACCATCTTTTATGTGCCTCAGCCAGAGCATTTTGAATTTTTCTTAATACAGATTTCAAACATTCTTTTTTGTTTGTTTATTCTTGGTTATTTTCTTTTCTGTTACCTTTGTGAATAACATCTTTCCTTCCAGTATACCTTTTAACTTTTATTATATTAATTCCACAATTACTTTTTATTGTGTATACACAACTTTGCTTTGTTTTGTTTTGTTTTATTTGTCTTTTTGAGACAGGGTCTCTTTGTGCAGTTCAGGTTGGCCTTTGTAGCACTTTGTAGCCCAGCCTGGTCCTGAACTCACAACAATCCTGTTGCCTCAACCTCCCGAGTGCTGGGATTACAGATGTTCGCCACCACGCCCGGCTTTATACACAACTTTGTATACACAAAGTGTATTGTGTGTAGACACAGTTACCTCTTGTTTTTTTCATTTAACTCATAATTTCTTGAGAATTTGCACATTATCTGTAATTAATGTTTCTAGTTTCTATACTTCTTTTTCTTTTCTAATTGTGATACTTCCTCAAAAAATTTAATTTTAAAGTAACCCCTGATGTAAATGAAAATACTTTTAATATATTTTCATTAAGTGTAGTAATGCCTCTTGACTTGAGATTTTTTTTTTTTTTTTACATTTTGTTCAGGAAATAGCCATTTACTTGTACTATATTTCAGGTTTTTCTTATGAGTGAATGTGAAATTCTGTCAAACTGAATTTCAAAGCCTTTGGAAATTGTATGATTTTACTTTGATCTGTTGATGTGGTGAATTACTCTGTCTCTGCAAAGAGTGCACTTGGTCATGGTATTGTAGTGTGATGGTAATATGCTAATGGGTTCTATTTGCTAATGTTTTATTTAGCCTTTTTCTCCATAGACCTCATCACTGAGACTGGCCCATAGGTTGGAGTGGGTCCCTGAGCTGTCCTTTACAACTTTTGATAAACATGAACCTGAAAAAATTTGGAACTTTTCTTTATTCCTTTGTGTTTTGAATGTATTGAATAAACTTAAACACAAGTCCTTTCTACTCAATTTATAGTTGCTCTGCTTTCCCTTATTTTGTCTTATATCTACCCTTTTTTCTTGATTTGATGAAATAACTGTTGGCCTCCCTTCTTCCGTTGTTTTTCTTCCTCCTCAGCCAAAGACATCTCTGAGATTTACTTGGCGGTGCTGTCATCTGTTTTCTCATTCCATTAATTTCTTTTTTTTTTTTTTTTTTCCTTTAAATTTCTGATTTGTCTTTAGTAATTTTTCTTTTGCTTTGGCACACTTAATGTGTTTCTTTGGGGTTTATTCTATGGACCTCTTACTAACTTCTTGAGTTATTAATTCTTTGTTCATTCTTTTACATTATTTTTCTGGTTACTGATTGCCATGTAACATACCACCTCAAGCCAGGCATGGTGGCACACATCCCAGTACTCGGGAGACTGAGGCAGGAGGATCATTGTGAGTTTGAGGCAAACTGGGCTACAAGTGAGTTCAAGGCCAGCCTGAACTGCATAGTGAAACCCTGTCTCAAAAAGAAAAAAAAACTTACTCTGCTTAGATCTTCAGAGTTGAAATCCAGCCCACTATCTGTTCTTTCGTAAATATTCATTTTGTCTTCAAATACTGCTTTTTCTTCGTTCTCTTCCAGAACTCCAGTTACTTAAGGTCTTTTCATTGTATTTTTTATGTTTTATTCTTTTGCTTAATGTTCAGTTTTATGTCTATGGTTTATTCTGGCTGTTTGCTTCTGGCCTGTGTTTTAGTTCATTAATTTTTCTCTTCAGGTATTATTTAGAATGCTCTGTGTTCATCTTTTGATTCCTTATCTTAGGAACTATATTTTTTCCAGTCTGGAATTTGTATTTGATCCTTATATTTCTCTGCTGCAATTCCCAGCCTACTCTGTTATGTCCTTACATATGCTAAACATTGTTTAGAATCCAGTAGTTTTTTTCTGGGGCCTGTTACTTGTTTTGGTTTTCAGTGATCACATTAACTTCTTATGTGCCTATTTTTTATTGCATGTGACTCACAGTGTATGAAAAAATTTGAGATAGTAGATGATGTCTTTCTCTCTCTCTTTTTTTTTTTTTCCTTTGAGACAGGGTCTCTCTATGAAGTTCAGGCTGGCCTTGAGCTCACTTTGTAGCTCAGGATGGTCTCAAACTCACAACAGTCCTCCTGTCTCAGCTTCCCTAGTGCTGGGATTACAGGCATGCACCACCATGCCCGGCAAGATGATGTCTTTCTCCACCAAGGACCTACACTTAGATTAAGGGTACAGGAAATCGCAGAGACAGGAAACTGGAATTCAGTTCCTGGGATAACAAGCATGTTTCCCATTCAGCCTGCAGCAGTGTCACCCTTCAAGAACTCACCGTGGGGCTTGAGATTTGTCAGAACCTTGCCCTTTTGCTGAGTTCCGAATTCCAGTTTTTGTGTCCTTAGCTTCTGTATAAGAATATCAGAGGTCTTGTTCATCTCCTGATTGTTCAGTCAGGTGTGGAATTGACAGGTGCATATTTTGGGAATAAGTGCCCCTAATGGAGCCCATTTTACTAGATTTTTTGCATTACTGGGATTTGAACTTACAGCCTCATGGCCTCGCATATGCTGTGTAAGTGCTTGACCCCTGAACTACATCTCCAGCCTTTTTCATTTTATTTTTTGAGGTAGGTTGTTAAATTGCCTGCACTGGCCTCAGATTTGCAATCTTCCTGCCTCAGCCTTCAGAGTAACTGGGGTTACAGGTGTGCACCACCACACTTGGCTTCCTCTTAGGTCATTACTTGCACTTTCTGGGTCACTGTTCTCAATACCTGTCTCCCTCTCTTTCTTTCTTTTTTTGTCCTTTCCTTTAATTAGTACTGTGATTAAACCCAGCTTTTCTCGCTGAACCACATCCCCAGCCTTTTTTTATTTTGAGATGATGCCTTCCTAAGTTACACAGACTGTGCTCAAATTTTCATCTCTTGTCTCAACCTCCAGAGTGTCAGTATTTCTTTTCTTTCTTTCCTCTTTTTCTCTCAACACCTCTTGATTATATAGTTGGTTCTTTTTTTTTTTTTTTTTTTTTTGGTTGGGTCTATTTAAAGAATGATTTAAATTTTATGGGGGAGTTGATTATTTACTGATTGATTAATTGAGACCAGTCAGTTGATTGAGTGTCCTGAAATCTTCCTGCCTCAACCTCCCAAGTGCTGGGATTACGCCATTTGTTTCTTTTTGGGGGAAGGGAGTGTTTCCTGTCGTATCTCAGAAGCTCAGTGTAAGTTCATCAGGAGGCACAGACGTAGGAAAAAAATTGAATTATTATTAAAATTTCATTTTTTCTTAGACAAATAGACCTCAGACTTCACGACCCAATCTCATCAAACCAGCTGCCCAGTGGCAAGATCTGAAAAGATTGGGAGAAGAAAGGCCTAAAAAGTCTAGAGCAGCATTTGAATCAGATCAGAGCAGCTATTTTTCAGTGTGTAACAACCCATTGTTTGATTCTGGGGCACAGGATGATTCTGAAGATGACTACGTTGAATTTCTGAACCTTGGGCCTCCTGGAGTCTCTGAGTTCACTAAGCCAAGAGGTCAAACAGAAACAGAACCCAAACCTGGACCAAGTCATAACCAAGCAGTAAATGACCTTGTCAACCCCAGATCAGAGCAGAAAATCATTATCTTTGGAGAAAGTGGCCTTCTTTTCCCAGAAAGTGATCCTTTGGATACTCAGAACCAGTCATCTGAAGACTCGGAGACAGAGCTTTTTTCAAATCTTGGAGAGTCAACTGCCCTGGGAAGTGATCAGGACATCGAAGATGATCTCTGGCTCAACCATCCTTACTTACAGTCTCTAAACCCACAGCCCCGGGAGGTAACAAACCAGGTCATTCCCCGGGAGCAGCGTTCTGAAGGAGAACTGGGCTCCTTTCTGTTTCAGCGTGAGCTCCCAGGGCCCGCCTTTGCAAGGCCAGCTTTTCCAAGACCAGAACCCCAACAAGATGGGATTTCAAGCCCTGTTTCTCCTCAGCATGCCCACCCACTAGGAGAGCTTGAAGACCAACGGTTAGCGATCGATCACGAAGAGCCAGGGCCAGCCTTTCCCCTGCCAGGATCTCAGGAGGCCAATTTGGAAAACTTCTGGAGGCAAGAACCTCCTGAGGTAGATCAAGAACTCATTGCACTATTAGTGAAAGAAACAGTAAGTGTTGCGTATTTTTATTACTATTTAATTTTAGACATCATACTGAATTTTCTTTCATTGCAGAAACCAAAAATGCATGTGTAGACTTCATTTTCCTAAGGAGCGTGAAGGTCCTAAGTTTGATTGCTGGTACCAAAAAAAAAAAAAAAATTTTTGGGATATAGCTCAGCGGCACAAGCACCTGCCTAGCAAGCGCAAGGTCCTGAGTTTCATTTCTGATACCAAAAAAAAAAAAAAAAAAATTACCTAAGGAATATGTATCTAGATGAAGAGAATAAAATCTGAAAACAGAAAAATGGAATCAGGATTCCTTAATCTATATGTAACTTCCAGGAAGCACTCAAGGGTGCTAATGACATACCATGGTGCTGTCACAGCAGTTTTTTCAGAGGCCTTGAACTCACTGCAAATTCAGATCCTTGAAGGAAGTTACTAGGTTACCTAGATCTGTGCTGTCCAACATGGCAGCCATTAGCCTGTGTGACTGTGTTTAAGTGTTTTACAATTAAAGTTACAACTTAAGTTTCCAGGGACATCAGTAACATGCATAGTTTCAGTAGCCACAATGGGCTAATAGCAAGCACAGAATAGGAGGTTTCCATCATCTCACACAGTTCTGTTAGATACCAGCCATCAGGGTACCACGGGCCGTTGTGTCCATACTCCTCTGCCCTTTGCTTTTGAGTGAGTCTCCTTGCCCTGCTTTACCCAGGTTTTCATTTGACCCTGGTGTGAGCCTGTAGAGGTCAGGCATGTGACTGTACCTTGTCTTTGGACTCCCTTACCTGGCAGAGATGCTCAGTATTGAAAAAAGAAAGTGGATATGCAGAGTGCGGCTGACGACCAGATGACCTCTGACCTTTCTAGACTCTTGTCTTTTGTCTGGATGGTGAATCTGAGAACAAGTGCTAAATTTTAAGCCATATAGAGCTGTTTTTCAGCTTTTTCCTTAGTCATTAGCCATTTTCTTTCTCTTTGTCCCGTGGTTTTTAGTTCATTCAAAACTATTCTAGTGAATATAGTGTTTTTTATTACTTTCTAGGAAGCAAGATTTCCAGACGTAGCAAATGGGTATGTTGAAGAAATAATTCATTTGAAGAATTATTACGATTTGAATGTGTAAGTATTCTACCATGCCTTTCTTCTTCCCCTTTCCTGTAGTAGAATAAATTTAACATTAAACTTAGCATTTTCACCTTTTATGTGTATCTGTATGTGTGTGGACTGGGAATTGAAATAGGGACCTTTGCATTCAGCTGTATCCGTGGCTTTTGTTTTGTTTTTTAAGTTTTCAGACAGAATTTTGCTAAGTTACACAGTCTGTATTCTTGTACATTTCCTACTGTTTCAGCCTCCCAGAGGGCTGGGACTTACAGGTGTACATCACCACACTCAGCTTACTTTAACCACTTAACCATTTTTAGGTGTAAAGTAAAGTTCAGTAGCATTAAGTACATTCACATTTTTGTGCAGCCCTTACCACATCCTTCTCTAGCACTTTTTATCTTCCCAAAATGCAACTGTACCACTTAAATACTAACTCCCTATCCATTCCTGTCTGAGCCCCTACCACCATTCTAACTCCTCAGTGAATTTGCCTCGTCTAGATATCTCATATGAGTCGAACTATACAGTAGTGGTTGGCTCGTTCTGCTGGCTTATTTCACTTGGCACTGTGTCTTTTTAATGACCTTGTTAGTTCCATCGTTAGTCATGCACAGATTGTTGTCTGTGTCATACAGAATTCTTCAGACTTAGGAAATGGTGATGCCTAGTTTCTGAGCCTTGATACTACCTGTGTTTTGGTCAAGATGATAAAAGATGCTTTCTTCCCTATAGTTGTGACAGAAAGCGTTCTCTAAGCATTCTGCCTGTTTGCAGAAATATGTGGAAGCATTTCTTCAGTTTTTAGTATAAAAGCAGTACTTTAAAAAATTTAGTGTTTGGAAGTATATAAAACGATAAGTAAGTCTCTTATTGTAGTCTTTCTCTTCATTGTAATCTACAGAGGTGAAACAGTTATAAGTTTGTAAAGAATGGGATTGAAAGTACTTAATCATAATTTTCAGAGTGAACACATATATCTTTTAATTAGTCAAAAGAGATAGTGTAATGCCAGGCATGTTGGCACGTGCCTATAATCCCAACACTTTAGGAGGCCGAGTGAGAGGGATCATGTCTTTGAGCCCAAGCTGGGCAACTTAGTGACTTAGCGAGTCCCTGTCTTTTTTTGTTTTTTTCGGTACTGGGAATCGAACTCACGACCTCATGCTTGCCAGGCAGGCGATGTGCCACTGAGCTAAATCCCCAGCCTGCAAGGCCCTGTCTTTTTTTTTTTTTTTTTTAATTTTAAGGCCCTGTCTTAAAACACAAATTAAAAAAGAGCTAGAGAAACAGCTCAGGGCAGATGTTCTAGATTCAGTCTTAATATGTACCTGGAAAAAACAAAAAGCTGCTGTACTACACCCTTGTCCTCAGATGTGTCATGTCTTACTCTGCAGTTCTCAGCCAAGGGTCCAAATAAGTATTTTCCCCTAAAGACTTGAGAGGGAACAGCCTCCTTTTCCAGGTTGTCAGCCCAACAGTTGTTCTTTTTTCTAATTTGTACAACAACACGTTGGTGCCACCTCTGTCCAAAAGCATCCAGTTACCAGGTTTTTAACCAGGATTGGATCAACTTTAGTTTCTTTCTTAATCTAGAGTGGTTCCCTGGTTACTTTTTAAAAATAATGTGAATTTTTCTTCACAGTGTTTTTTACTATAAGAAGTTGAAAGATTGCCATGTTTGGTGGTACATGCCTATAATTCCAGCTACTCAGGATGCTGAGGCAGGAGAAGCACAAATTCAAGGCCAGGCCAAGCAACTTAATGAGACCCTGTTTCAAAATAAAATATAAAAATGAATAAATAAATAAAATATAAAGGGCTGGGGATATAGCTCAGTGGTAGAGAGGTTGCTTAGCTTGTTGTGAGGCCCTGGGTTCAGTCCCTAATACTGAAAAAAATTAAAATTGAAAAACATTGTAATGAGGGCTGGGACTGTAGCTCAGCGGCACAAGCACCTGCCTGGCAAGTGCAAGGTCCTGAGTTCAATTCCTGGTACCAAAAAAAAAGAAAAGAAAGAAAAACATTGTAATGAATACCTGTATACTGATCACTCAGATTATCTGTCATTCTGCTGAAAGATTTTTACTTCCTGCTTTTAAAATAATAATTATTATTATTTTGTACACACAAACTTAAGGGCTTTTAAATGGTATTTTAAAATCAGTTACAGAACTCGATGTGGTGGCGCGTGCTCGTAATCCCAGCACTCAGGAGGCTGAGGCAAAAGGATCTCACAAAGAGGCCAGCCTGAACTACATAGTGAGACCTTGTCTCAAAAAAAATCAGTTATGATCATTTGCTTTTTGATGCTGAAATTTTCCCAGATTTGACTACTTTTGGTGTGACACCCTTCCCATTAATCTTTGAGCACTTTCTTGTTTGTTGAAGTATTTTTTTTTTGTTACTGGGAATTGAACTCAGGACCTTGTGCTTGCCAGGCAGGCACTTGTGCCACTCAGCAATATCCCTGACCCTTATTGAAGTACCATGCTGCCCAGGTTTGCCTTGGACTTCCTCAGACCTGGAATCTGTTACTCTGTAAGAAACCCGGAGGTTTGTTTTTTTTCCCTTCCTTCTCTGGTGGTTTCGGTTTCTTGTTTTGTTTTGGTTTGGTTTTTTAAGACAGGGTGTTGCTGTCTTGCCAAGGCTGGGCTTGCGCTCCCAGAGTCAAACAGTCTTTCCACCTCAGCCCTCCAAGCACTGGCACTACAGGTGTGTGCACCTGTGCCTGGCTTAACCCCAGAGTTTTTAGAACGAGGAGCATCTTAGGACTTCATATGTTCACCCTTGGTACCAGCATGCTACACTGGCATCTGAGTGAGAAAAGGAGCTGGAGATGGGCACTTTTTCCTCTGTTCTCTTCTTGGCAGACCTTTGTTACACAACCCACTGCTGACACTGGACAAGAACTAGGGAGAAAAGAGTTAAGTGAGAATTAGAATTAGACACCTAGCCAGGGGTGGGTCATCCTACAAATATTTGGGAGCAAGGGATGGTAATGCTAATGAGCAGGAACCTCTTGTTACCCTGTGGGTTGTTGAACACCCAGGCTCTCATGTCACTGAGATCATCCCCAGGCTAGCTATCTGATTTGATTCTGTTGCCAGCTTGGATAGTTAATGTGGTTAAGTCTGGGTGGTGATGCATCAGTGCGTATTGGTTTACTCTGCATGGCTTACCCTCAGAGTAGTTCAGTAATGAAGTATCTAAGAGACAAAGGTGGTGGGTTTGTAAGAAGAGAATCTGCTCATAAGAAAGTATGACCTGTTCATCAGTCTTGCAGTTGGTTAAATAAAGTCAGCATAACTCAGTTGGCTCACAGTTCTTATTACCACAGGTTATAAAAAATAGTAATTAGCCAAAGATCTTTCATATTTCATGTACTTACTGTTACGAGTATTTTTAATTTCAATTGTGAATACATACTTTTTCCTACATGTTATTCATAGTTTTCATGATGCTTTTTCAGCTGGGAATGTATCTCAGCACTAGAGCTCTGGCCTAGGGTACATGAAACCCTTGCTTCAAGCCTCGGGGAGAGAGGGGAGAAAAGCTACTTGTCTTCTAAATTCTCCGGTTCCATGCAGTTTAACCAGTAGCATTTTCAGTGACTTCATCACGTCAGTCCCCAACTAATAGATGTGGCATTTGCATTCATCAGTGTGTTCATTGCACTTGTTTGTTTTTGTCTTTTTTGAGACAGGGTCTCCCTGTGCAGTTCAGGCTGGCCTTGAGCTCACTTTGTAGCCCAGGTTGGTCTTGAACTCACAGTGATGTTCCTGCCTCAGCCTGCCAAGTACTGGGATTATAGGTGTGTGTCACCACGCCCGGTACATTTGTTTGTTAGTGAGTGACAGGGTCATGCTATGTAATCTATGCTTGCTTTGAACTCGCTGCAGTCCTCCCATGTGCTGCGATTACAGGCATGTGCCACCATGCCCGGCCATTGCTTTTTAAACTAGCAAGTAAAAATAGAAATCCAGTGTAATTTTTTTCTCAATAATTACTTGTATTTTTATTAGTACATGTTTATAGTACATAATAATTACATTCATTGTGGGGAGGTGGTACATGTACATACACATTTAATTCTTTTTACATTCCTTTGCCCTCCCCCTCCTTTTTTTTCTTCGTTATTTTTTGTCTTTTTGAGACAGGGTCTCGGTTATGCTGTTCAGGCTGGCTTGAGCTCACTTTGTAGCCAAGGCTGGTCTCAAACTCACAGTGATCCTCCTGTCTCAGCCTCCTGAGCACTGGGATTACAGGCATGCGCCACCATGCCCAGCTTCTCTCCCTATTTTTAAAATTATTTAGTTTTGCAGGGGCTGCAAACATCTTAATTCCTTGATGGGCCAGTTTTCCTATGTCACTGGGGGCTTGATTTTTGCATTTGAATCAGTGGACTGGTGTGAGATTTGGAAGCAGTGTGAAAGTAACATTATGTGTTGTTGCAGACTTTGTAATTTTCTTCTGGAAAATCCAGATTATCCAAAGAGAGAAGACAGGATCATTATCAACCCCAGCAGCAGCTTGCTCGCCAGCCAGGATGATACAAAGGCAAGTGTCCTGTGTAGGTTTTGCTGACTTACCTGGAAGTACCCTACCTTTTCCGTCATCTCTATGCTTTGTTGGGACACATTTTTAAAAGGCCAGCAAGTAAAATAAGATTTTAGAATGCACTTCAGTGGAATCTCCAACCTCAAGCCACTGTGAGTTACATGTTTAACTCTTCTTTTGTTATTACTCTTACCTTCCCTTTCCCACAGAGAATTAAGCAAATCTTCCACATTTTTAATCTGACAAAGCAAGTTCCCAAAGTGAAACAAGAATTGCCATGATTCCTCATATTGTTTTAGTAAGGTTTTTTTTTAACATTTTATTACGAAAATTTTCAAACATACAGAAAAGTTCAAGCACTTTACATTAATCAGCCACCACCAGTATTACTAAAAAGTTTTTTTATTATATCAGCTTCATTGCAACCCTTTCCTCTGTCCATCAGCTCATCTTTATTTCATTTGTTACAGTGCATTTCAGAGTAAATCATGGAGGTATGGTATAACTCCATGAAAATACTTCCATGCACAGATCATTACTCAGAGCTTAATAACTGATGACAATTTTTTTCTGTTGCAAGATTTGTGACTGGGCCGGGCCTGCTGGCACATGCCTGTAATCCCAGCACTTGGGAGGCTGAGGCAGGAGGATCATTGTGAGTTCGAGACCAACCTGGGCTACAAAGTGAGCTCAAGGCCAGCCTGAACTGCGTAGTGAGACCCTGTCTCAAAAAAAAAAAAAGATTTATGTATAGTACATATACTTGTTTAATCAAATCTCATATGAAGATGTAAGTCATTTGATTTTTTTTTTTTTTTTTTTTTTTTTTGGTACCGGGAATGCAACTTGGAACCTTGCACTTTCCAGGCAGGCACTTGTGTCACTGAGCTGTATTCCCCCCCACAGCAGTTTTATTTTTAAAACCTATAATCATTGTCTTCACTTGCAATCTAAATTAGCATTCAGTGTATCGTATACTGAGGGAAAGTATAGTTCAGAATTAACTGCGTGAAGATCTACTAATTGATCTTTCTGCCCCCCATAAATTCTTTTGACTCTCTTTTACATACTCTGTAGCAGGGAGAGAGAAAATGACTTTCTCTGAACATTTTGAGGAGGTAAATGGCTGAAAGATTGGGTTCAAATAGTCAGCTAAATTTCTTTACTAGTTCTAACTAATAAAACTAGTCTTAGACTGCAGACAAATAGATCTCTGATCCACCATTTCTCCGTCCTTGTTACAGGGCTGATAACTTCTAGAATAATTATGAAACCAAACAAGATTATCCTTTCCTATAATATATAATTGTTAAAATGATTTTCTCCTTTTGGGGTATGCACTCTCTGGCATTCTAATTTTGTATTTCTGTCTTATTTCAGTTGCCTAAAGTAGACTATTTTGACTATTCAAAATTGAGTCCACTTGACCAACGTTGCTTCATCCAAGCTGCTGACCTCCTGATGGCTGACTTCAAAATGCTTAGCAGTCAGGACATCAAGTGGGCCCTGCATGAGCTCAAAGGACACTATGCAATCACCCGAAAGGTGCTCTCTTTCTTCTGTTGGGGTCACTTTCTTGACTGCTCCACCCTGGGATACAGAACAGAGTTCTCCTTGCAGAGATTGGGATGGTTTGTGATAGCTGATAGTTGTAGAGTTGGTCAGGATAACAATAATAGGCAGGATATTTGCTGGTCAGAAAAAAACTGAAGGGAAAGAAATGCTAGAGTAGAAACAGGGAAATTCTCCTTTGACCAGAAAGATCTGGAGGACAACACACATTAGTGTGGAATGCACAGTAGAAGAGTGTGAAAGATTCCTCTTCTCTGATTTGCTTTGACTTGCAACCAATTACACAGTATCTCCCAGGTGACTGTTTCCACTTACATGAGGTGAGGTCTATAAGGAGCCACGAACACAGTAGTGCCTAGTAATGGTGGTGTACTTCAGAAGGGGGTAGGCAGCTACCAAAAACTCAACATTTTCCTCCAAGGCCCCAAATAAGATAGCACATGAATAGCCCCTATTCTTGGACAAGGACAAGGGCTGGTGACTGGTGGGTGGCACAAGCATGCTCAGTTAAGGTCCACCCCACAGAGTCAGTTCCATCACAGCAGTCAGCTGGGACAGAGCGTGAGTGCAGACATGTAGTTGATTCCTCCTGCTGTTAAATCTTCTGCTGTAGTGCTTGTGATTCCCAACAAAGACTGATTCCCCACCCCAGAGGACAAAGTTGGAATTATTTTAATAGTACAGATACCCTCTGGGTCTTTCCTGAAGGAATATGAGCCCAAGGTAGAGATAGTTCATTCTGAGTCTAGGTCAAGCCCCACCATTGCCAGGAAGATCCAGGCAACTGTCAAGAAACTCCTACATACAATTATTCTGAGGGAAAAAGTTAGTACTTTCTATATCTGAATCTCATTCCCCATGCTATGACATAGGGAATGCCTTAGTTGAAAATTGAAGACGTCCCAAAGTGGCAACCACCATGCAATAGGGCTCTGTGATGTATAGGCTGCACCTCCATCCTCACTGGCCCAGGCTGAGGTGCAGTGATAGAGCTCGCTTTGAGAGGACGAACTGCACCTGGAGGGGCACTCCCTCCACAGGCTCCAAGGTCTGGTCTGCCATGGTCCTCTTTTGTGCAGTGTAGACTTTGTGGCTGTGTTGCAGCTAATCAGGAGATCTAGTACAGTCCTGAGGCTGCCTATAGACAGGGATTTATCCAGATGATCTCCTGAATGCCCTTTGGTGGCTTTTATTCTGTGATTTGTGGAACACTTTCTGCTTAAAGAGCTATTCCATTCTTGGCATAGCTTCCTTGTACTTATGATCATTTATATTTTTAATAAAGGCATCTGCTTGTTTGTGGATAGTTTGGGAGTTACATGGCCTTTGAAATGGTATGTCCTAGACTGTTTGAATTCACATTTAAGAGGACATGATCTTGGGCTGGGGATATAACTCAGTGGCATAAGCACCTGCCTTTCAAGTGCAAGCTCTGAGTTCAATTTCCGGTACCTAAAAAAAAAAAAGAGGACATGCTCTCAGAAGTTAAGGCATGCTGTGACTCCTTCGGATTTAGGACTTGTTCTTACATACAGTGATTGGTGCATGGGAATTCTGCCCTGTAGACAGTGACTGTGGTGTGAACAGAGGATATGACACACCCAAAGATACTTTTAAGTTACATCAATGCCACTGTCTCTCTGTGTTGCCCCAGACAATGTGATCGCTCAGAGGAGTTCATGTTCTTTATAAAGGTTGAGTCATGTTTTCCTGAACTTGCCTTTTGTGTTTTTCGTGCTGGGGAGTGAGACCTGGGCCTTCATAGTAAGGCATATCTGCAGCACCTGGCCCCCTTTTTGTTTATTCATTTTTTATTGTGAGACAGGATTTTACTACAAGTAGCTGACTTGTCTAGGCTGGGCTCCAATTTACAACCTCCTACCTCAGTTTCCCAGCGTGCTAGAATTAGAGATGTGCATCATATGCCGGAGTTTTTCACTTTCTATAGTAAACCTCCTACATATGTTATGATAAGCCCCCAATTACCCATCATTCAGCCCTGCCCATTTTCCTTCTTCCCATAGTTTTTTAGAGCAAGTTACAAATTTATTTACATTTATTACCATTTGTTGATAATGTTAAGTCTTTCATAATCTGAGTTCTCATTCCATGCTTTGTTTTTTTCTTATAGTTTGTTGAGAAAACATACGAGTTGTTTAGCATGTAGGTTTTGACAGTCTGGATTTCCCTGACACGCCCTCAGTGTCATTAACTGGCCTGTGTGCCTTGAATTTCCTACAGATTGATAGTTAGATCTGGAATCTTCATCAAACTTGGGTTTGTTTGTTTGTTTGTTTTCTTTTTGCCTTTGATTTAATTGTTAGTCTGTGATTAGAGCAAGTGTTTGAAAAACTTGCTGGGCTTCAGTTTTCTTGTAATGTAGAGTGGCTCCCTTGCAGGCTATGATAAGAATTAGAAAATAATGTATGTAAAGCCAGAACAGTGCCAGACTTACATCAGGTTCCTGTAGACAAGTTCTCAATCCATCACATGCTTTCTGTGTGCTACAGAATAATTTTTAAGCTTTTTGTTTGTTTGTTTGTTTTTTGTTTTTTTTCCAGTACCGGGAATCAAACTTATGACCTCGTGCTTGCCAGGCAGGCGCTGTGCCGCTGAGCTAAATACCCAGCCCCAATTTTTAAGCTTTAGAAGTGTTGTGAGAGTCAGTCCTCAGCATGATACTACAAAAACCCTCTGGTAACCCACCCTGCTTAGGTTTGTAGCACTGACTTCAAGCCAGAGAGAGCCATCACCCAGATAGGGCTGTGACGCATTTATGAAAGTCTCCTGTAAGTGGGCTTCTTGGTGAGCCCCATGCAGCCTGCAATATTTCTAAGCCTTTTTTTTCCCCTGGTTTTATACTAAAGAAACAAAAATGATGTTTCAGTGCTATTTTTATTTTTTTTTTTAGTCAGGGTCTCACTGTGCAGTTCACGCTGGGCTTGAATTCACTATGGAGTCCAGGCTGACCTTGGACTCACAGTGATCCTCCTGCCTCAGCCTCCCAAGTGCTGGGATGACAAGTATGCACCACCACACTCAGCCCAATGAATAATATTTTTTTTTCCAATGAATATTATTTAAACTAGAGGAAGCAAGTAAAGCCTTACCACTTAAGGCAGCACGTTATCAGTTCATTTTCACAGTTAAAAAATCAACTATTGCTAAAATGCTTATTTGTAATTTGCCCCTTTGTCAGTGTCTTCCTCTGCTCCCCAGAAGAAGCTCTTAACACTTTTCCTCTGTTTCTTCTGAAATTTGCTTCAGTGCTTTTGGATGTATGCTTCTACTTGATGAATCAGCTTTCAGAACTACTTAGGCTTTGTATTATAAGTAGGGAACCTAGGTCTTAACACTACCACACATACATCCTCATCTTTTCAGTACAGTTTTTTGCTAAATCTTTCTATATTATAACTATGGCACTGTTTACAGCTAGGCATTTAATATAATTCTTTTATGCCCTTAAATTTTCTGTTCATCTTAGGCTCCATTTTTCCATTTGCTTTGGTGTTTTCTGTTTTGTTTTTTGTTTTTTTGTTCTTTTACCTTTTAGGGTTTCACTATGCAGTTCAGGCTGGCCTTGAGCTGACTTTGTAGCCCAGGCTGGTCTTGAACTTATAACTATCCTCCTGCCTCAGCCTCTCGAGAGCTGGGATTACAGGCTTTTGCTGACCAGACTGGCTCTGTTTTGTTTTTATGTTTTGACTTACTAGTTTGTCTTTCCACAGCTGACAGCTCCAACATAGCTCAGCATGTTGCCACAGCATCATTTAATTCCTCCATTCATACCACCCCCATTCTGACTGTTCTCTGCAGGTGGCATGATGCTGTCAACTTGAGATTTGCCTTCACTTTTTCTCAGGAATTCCCTTCACTTGGCTCCTGGCTTTTCCCTGTGCTCTAGATCCTACCACTGTCTGCTTGGTTTGCATTCCCACAAATGCCTAAGAGTTCCACTGGGCTGCAAATTATTTCTCTACCCCAGATGTGATTGCCTCTTTCAGTTAATTTGTTGATCCCCAGTCTTAGTCCATGTACCAGGAATATCCTAAGGACAGTGTAAGGCCCCTTCCCTCCCAGGGGTTCATACTCATGGATTGGTGCCATCTTTTTTAACTATGCTTGAGACATTGATAGCTAAATGGATGCACATTGAGAACATACTCTTTAGTGAAATAAATCAAACACGTATGGGTAAATATCCCATTTTCTCTTTGGTGTGAATAACTGAAAGTATAAATAAGAACCAAAATATATAATAGATATTGTGAAACAGGAAGTAACTATTCAAAAGGAAAAAAGTTGTGGGTGAGGATGAAAGAGAAAAGGAAAAAAAGGATAAAATGGAAACAGCTTTGTAAGTAAGGAGCAGGAAAGAGGGTAGGAGAATAGGAAAGAAAAGAGGAACTAAGATACATCATGTACAGGTTACAGATTCCCTATGATGAATGTGGTCATTACGTGTATCTAAGTTGTATCAATAAACTTAATTTAAATAAATAAACTGTATAGATTATTTTTTAAAAAATAACTTCGGTTCTCTAAAGTGGTCATTATCAGGGTCTCCGTGTCCTAGGCCTCCTGGATTTAGCCACATGGCTGTAATGGTAATCTTGGTCTCTGCGGAGGTGACTGCCCATCTGTGGATCCAACCTCTGCCAGGCTCCAGAGCCTGTGTGGCACCAGCGTACTCATTGTAGTGTTACTAAAAGAACTTCGGCCATGTCACAGATTTTTTTACATTTTTTTTATTAGTACTTTATATGTATATGTTATTTCTGCATCCTCCGTTCTGTGTCACTGATTTTCATGTCTGTTCTTGTGCCTGTACATACTGTGCCATATATGTCCTAAAAGTCTTACCAGACTGTATACTTAACTCTCAGAAGACATAAGTTGCTGTTTGATTTATGAGTCTGAGAGGAAAGTGCAGACAACTGAATGAACACTGTTCTTGGTCACCTGTTCTTCCTAGAGTCCTCTGAGGTTTTTGAGTTCTTGAGGGTTCTGGAGGACACTGGGATTGTGGCTCAGTGGGAGAATGCTTGGCTGGCATGCACTATTTCCTGGGTTCCAGGCCCAGCATGCACAAGGCACAGGGTTCCACTCGCAGTGCTGCGAAAGAAGTGTACCTCCTTCTCATGAGCGTCTAGTGGAGGAGAGTGGCAGAGAAATGATGAAGACAGCATGACAAGTGCTCTAAAATTAGGTGAATCAATCCATACAAGCATTAGGAAAGAAGTATCATTTGAGCAGAGTCTTGACAAAAAGATGTTTTCGCCAGAGGAGAGATTTGTACAAAAGCTAAGAGCTGGGGTATGTAGACTAGCAGGCCTCAGAGAGAAGGAATTCTCCTGTAGTTTAATTCTATCTGTTCTACTTAACTAGGCTATTAGTCAGTAGTAACAGAAGTTACTAATATAACTATCATAGTAAAATTTTGGAGACTCCTTTAATTTATGTACCACATTTTTAAAGCTAATTTCCTGACAGGTACAGATTAAGTTGATACTATGTGGAGCTTTCCGCCTGCTGTTAGAAGCAATAATAAATGAAATAATGACTCCTTTAGGCTGCCACTCAGGAGCCTCTACCTGTGTCACCACCATTCAGGAGCTCTGAGTTCCACTGAAGTCTGATTCCATGCTGATAAGTGGCACCTATGTTTTAATTACTCTTTTGTGAAACACAAATTATGATCCTGTCTGACTTCCATTCTTAGATTCTTGCAAGCAGCCTAAGTTCAAAGGTGGAGTAACTAGCTTTAGGTAAAACTTGGTAAATATTAGTAGCCTTGCAGCTGAGTATATGAAAGGGTAACTTCAGGGCCAGAGATGTAGCTCAGCAGCACAGCGCCTTGCTTGGCAAGCACAAGGTCCTGAGTTCAATTCCTAGTTCCAAAAAAAGTGTAACTTTAATATTCGGTAAGGCAGCTGGGCGTATGGCACACACCTGCAGTACCAGTACTCAGGAGTCCAAGGCAGGAGGATTGCCATGAGTTCCAGGCCAGCCTGTGCTACATAGTAAGACCTTGTCTGAAAAAAACAAAACACAAACAGAATTCTGGTAAGCCATAAAGGGAGGAACCCAGCATTGTGAGTGCAACTGGGGACTCAGCTAAGTTTTACTTTTTTGTTTTCCATTTGCAATAATCTCTCCCTTTCTCAATTTTTAGGCCTTTTCTGATGCCATTAAAAAATGGCAGGAACTATCACCAGAAGCCAGTGGAAAAAGGAAAAAGAGAAAAGAAATGAATCAGTATTCTTACATAGATTTCAAATTTGAACAAGGTAATGGCAACAGATTTTGGGGCCACATGGAAAGCTGCAGCAATCCCCTATCACTGAAGGAAGTCATGTTACCTACTGTCTATAGGGGGCCCTGGCCAGGCCAGGGAGTGACTGACAAGGATGGTTTTTAGAAAGTGGCTGGTTCCCTTCTCCCTCCTTTGGATACATCCTGATGGGAATTTTGTGCAGTGGGTAAGAAAATTCACATGTGAATGTGGGAGAGTGCTTGCTGTTATGCTTGGGAAAGACTAATCTTGAAGGCCTGATGCAAATTAGTACCAACCTGATAGTTGCTTGCTTACCAAGGCAGGCTCACTTTCACACGAACGAGCATGGCTAATAGCGTATTCCTCTAAGACTGCTGATGAAATGACTGCTGAGAGCCTTTTCAGCTCTGATCCCCGCCAAACAGTAGACTTGAATTGTAAAACAGATTTCCTCCAAGTCACTTGTGTCCAAGAAGAGTTTATATAACTTTTTCCATAGGTTATGTCACGGATAGAGGTACTTTCCTTTCTGTTTCCTGTTTGTATCCTGTTACATGTGTACATAGTTAGGAAACTTGATTTCAGATATGACTAAGAAGCGCCATGTGATAACTGTAGAGTTAGGAAGCATTTGGATTTCTTGAGTCCTCAGAGTCTGTATTCTCCTCTCCTACCCCTGTCTTCTGGTGTCCCTCTCCTAGTCAGTGGACATCAGTCCACTTCCACTGGTCTCCACAGAGTGAGAAAGCAGAGACAGTGTGTAGCTAAAGTAACCTACAGATGAAACCAGGCATCCCTACTATGTAGTCTTACAGTCTTTGCTTCTGACTTTCAGTGGTGGAGAAAGAAAATTGTCCACCTCCTTGTTGGTCAGCTCCATCTTTTACAGAGTCCTGTCAGGCCAGAAGGTACCTCCCTCACGTTGCCTGCTGCAGCTGCAGGTTGTACCTCTGAAAAGGTCAAGGTCTGTTGCCTCTCCATTGTCCTGATGGCCCTTCTCTGGCTCAACAGTGGATCCTGGACAGTGGGGTACAAGACCTTGTACTCCAGCTGATGCTTGTGACGCAGAGACAACAGTGAGCTTCAGGCTCTGCTCTTTGGTCCAGGCAACCTAAGAAGTACTTCATAGTCAGCTTACTTGTCCCTGAGGTGGGAAACAAGGCAAGGACATTTTATATTCACTGCCATTCACATACTACTGGAAGTACTACCCAATGCAGTAAAGAAAAGAAAGAGAGAAAAAGTACAGATCTAAAAAAAAGGAAGGGGCCGGGTGTGGTAGCGCGTGCCTATAATCCCAACACTTGGGAGGCTGAGGCAGGAGGATCATTGGAAGTTCGAGACCAGCCTGGGTTATAAAGTGAGCTCAAGGTCAGCCTGAACTGCATAGTGCATAGTGAGACCCTGTCTCAAAAAGACAAAATCAAATTAAATTAAAATTTAAAAAAGGAAGAAATCTGGCTCTGGATACATAATTGTCTCCCTAGAAAACTACAAGGAATCCACTAGAAAACTAGAACTGATAAGTGAGTTTAGCAAGGTTTCAGAGTATAGCACCTACCTACCGAAAGCAGTTGCATTTATGTATACAGTGGTGCCTCAGTTCATGAACTTAATTCTTACGTCTTTTTTTTTTTTTTTTTTTTTGGTTTTTCTCCGGTACCGGGAACCGAACTCACGACCTTGCGCATGCCAGGCAGGCGCTTTTGCCTCTGAGCTAAATCCCCAGCCCCCATGAACTTAATTCTTTCCATGATTCTGGTCACAGACAGTTAGATGAGAGGTCAACATTGACCCTAACTGTTGAATTTGGTTCAGTTTCCACTTCAGTTTGTGACCAGAATTGTGGAAAGAAGTTCGTGTACTGATTTGCCAGTACACTAGCAATGAACAAGTAGAAACCAAAATTTAAAATACAGTGCCATTTATAGCATCTCCAGAACTGGATATTTGTGTGTACATGTGGTGTGTATGCGGAACCCAGGGCCTTTGTCTTTTTTGGTCCTTTTTGGTTGTTTTGGTTTTTTTGTCTTTTTGAGACAGGGTTTCACTGTGCAGTTCAGGCTGGCCGTGAACTCACTTTGTAGCCCAGGCTGGCCTCGAAGTCATGGTAATCCTCCTACCTCAGCCTCCCAAGTGCTGGGATTACAAGCGTGTGCCTCCATGTGAGGTTTGAACCTAGGGCCTTTGAACTGAGCTACATCCTCGTTCTGTTTGTTGTTGTTTGTGTTTTGAGATAGGGTCTCACTAAGTTGCCAAGGCTACAATCCTCCTTCCTCAAGATTACAGGTATGCACCATCTCTCCCATGTCAAAAAGACCTTTTTAAGAAGATGAAAAGACAAACTACAGATTGAGAGAAAACATTTGCAACCACATCTCTTGACTAAGGACTAGCATCTAGAACATAAAGAACTCTGAAAGCACAGTACAAGAAAAATCAATTAGAAAGTGAACCAAAGATAAACATATCACCAGAGAGAACATACAGATGGCAGATACCCAAAAAATGTGCAGCATCATTAACTGATGAATGCAGATGAAAACCACAGTGAGATACCACTGTACACCTTTTAGAATGGCTAAAATAAAAAGTGATACCACCAAATGCTGGTAAGGTGCAGAGAAACCATCATTCATATGTTGCTGGTGTCTGATGGCCATTCTGCAGGACATCTCAGCAGTTTGCTTTAAAGCTAAGCATGTTGTACTCCTGAATATTTATCCCAGAAAAGTAAAATTTACCTTCCCAAAAAGCCTGTACATAAACATTCGTGGCAGCTTTATGCAGATAATCCAAAACAAAGATGTTCTCAACTGGTGAATGGTTAAACTGTGACAACTATAGCACCACCATGCCAGGGAAGACTGGGTTGGTTTGTTTCGTTTTTGGTGGTAGAGGGAATTGAACTCAGCCTAGGTAAGCACTTTACCACTGAGCTACAACGCTAGGCTCATACCGTAGACTATTACTTAGCAATAAAAAGAAACATTACTGATGCGTGTACCAAGTTGGATAAATCTCCAGAAAATTATGTGGATAAAAAGTTAATTTTACAGAAAACAGAAAAAAAAAGACTATCTCAAAACAACAACAGGGGCCAGGGATATAGCTCAGCAGCACAAGCACCTACCTGGCACAAGGTCCTAAGTTCAATTCCCAGTACCAAAAAGAAAAAGTTAATATCCTAAATAGTTTACCAAATATTCCTGAAATGACAAAATTACAGAAATGGAAAACAGATTAGTAGTTGGCAGTGTCAGAAAAGGTTGCTGATGGAAGGAAGGATATGTGTGGCTGTCAGGGCCACCAAAGGGATCCCTTTGGTGTTCTATATGGACACTGTCACTGTCAGTATTCTGGTGGCAACACTGCACTATAGTTCTGCAGCTTGTTATCATTCAGGGAAATCTGAGTAGATTTCTGTATTTCTTACAACAGCACATAAATCTGCAATTACTTGACAGTTTACTTTAAAAACCACATATCATCTTAGCACTCGGGAGGCGGAGGCAGGAGGATCACCTCGAGTTCAAGGCTGGGCTGGGCTACATCGTGAGTTCAAAGTCAGGCTGGACTACATGGCAAGATCCTGTCTCAAACAAAACAAACGAACCAAAAAATACAGAGAGAGAGAGAGATACCAAAGCACATAGAGGGAAGGAAAAGATATTATAAGGAAATTTGTAGGGCCAGAGATGTAGCTCAGCAGCGCAGTGCCTGCTTGGCAATCACGAGGCTCTGAGTTTAGTTCCTAGTAGCAGAAAAAAAAAAAAGGAAATTTGTATAGACTTAATTGCATTTGGTTATAAAATGCAGGAATGATAATGAATGTTACAATTTTAACTTAAAGACCTGAGTTAAAAAAGGAATAATAAAGAGCAAAACTTAATTTTTTCACTGAAGCAGGTAACATTTATTGAGTACTTAATATGCCAAACCCTTCCAAAATGTGTTACATAGATTGATTTGTGTTTCAAATAACCTTGTGAGGTAGATATCCCATTATTATCACTTTGTGAATTAAAAAACTGAAGCACAGGGAGGTTAAGTAACTTGCCAAGTGGTACATAGCAAATCATAGCCAAGCAGGGATTCCAGCCCTGGTGATTTAACTTCAAAGCCAACTGTGCTTTACTGTTTCCGTAAAAAAAAAAAAAAAACTGGCTAAATTTTTAAAACTTTGTGAGAATAAGAGAAAAGGAGAATAAAGACAACATACATCAGAAAAGAGGTACAGTAAATATTGTTAAAATCAAGAGGTTATTAAAACAGACTGGTGGTAAATAAGTTGAAAACCTGAACAGCCTAGTGTTCTAAAACATAAGTTGCCAAATTAATGGAAGCAATGTCAAACCTGAACAAACCGGTTATATACCTGCTGTTTGCTATTCTGCTGTCTTTTATTCTAAATATTATTTATTGTAGTAAATCTAGGCACTCTTTGGGCTTTTCTGTGATTTTCAAAATTAAAACGCTTACACACCTTGTGTTCACATCTACTGGAAGCGGCTAAAATTAAAAAGCAATGACACCAGGTGTCAGCAAGCATGGAGGGCACATGGAACTCACGTATATTACATTCATTCACAGGGAAAGTATAAATTGGAATGACTTTGATAAACCAGCATTATTTTCTAAAGCTTAACTGAGCATATCCCATGATTTGGCAGTTCCAGTCCTTCAACTGAGTTGCAGACACATATTCACCAATAAACAGCTACAAGCAGCTCTATTCATAGTAACCATAAACCCAATGTCCTTGTTGGAAGAATGGGTAATAAACTGTATTGTGATCCCTCAGTTAACAAACTTTATTACCTACAATTCTGGTTACAAACCAAATTGGACAAGAACTGAGTCAAATTTCCCCATCAGGTCAGTATTGAATTTAACCATTGAGTTTGATTGGGTTCTCATCTACTTTGGTTTGAGAGCAGAATTGTGGAAGGAATTAAGTTCATGAACCAAGACACCCCTTTTACATTCATACAGTACACTACTGACAGTGTAGCAGAGCTTTCCAATTGGAGCATAGTGGGAGAGAAGGCAAGGACGGCCAGAGGTGTGTGGTACATTAGGAGCTATGAGGGGCACAGTCCTCTGGCAATAGAATGGTTACAGGAGGAGTCTTGAAATTACCTCTGTGGGGAGCTGAGCATCAGAAGGTGATACCCTGGATTCCTAGCAAACAGTTGTCTATATGATTTTGCACTGTTACATATCTTCTAGGTGACATCAAAATAGAAAAAAGGATGTTCTTTCTGGAAAATAAGCGGCGACATTGTAGGTCCTATGACCGGTGTGCCCTCCTTCCAGCTGTGCAGCAAGAGCAGGAGTTCTATGAGCAGAAAGTCAAAGAGATGGCGGAGGTAGGAGGACATGCTCTGCTCTGGGGATACATTTCTGCAGGTCTAGCTTGTTCACTGTTAGGCCTTGGTACCAAAACTAATATCCTTTAAAATCTCCCTTTCACTGCTCTGTTTTACCCTGGGGTTTTGTTTGTTCGTTTGTTTGGGAGTGGTGGTGATGGTGGTACGCTCAGGATCAAACCCAGAGACACTTAAGTGCATCTCAAGCTCCAAGACTTTTCTTTTCTTTAGACTAACTAATTACATGACAGTTAAAAAAAAAAAAAACTGGCCAGGCATGGTGGCACATGCCTATAATTCCAACTGACAGCTGAGGCAGGAGGATTGCCCTGAGTTTGAGACCAGCCTAGGCTACAGAAGTGAGTTCAAGGCCAGCCTGCACTACACAGTGAGACCCTGTCTATAAACAAATACATATATACATACATACATACATAGAAAGAAAGAAAAACTGGGTTTTGTAATGACAGTGGCTAAAGTTTAATTTTATAAACCAGATTGCTATTAAAGCATTTTAGTTGAAGATCCGTAACATCTCTTTCACGTCCCTCAACTCTGTTGATGGAGAAAAGCCAAAGAGGGATTGGATACATAGGCTGTTTCTTAATTATCTTCCATACCAGCAGCTCTTGTGTGACTCCAGGTCCTTAGAGACTCTAAGGTAGAGTCTGTGAGATCACAGCTCTGCTATAATGGTGCTAAAGTATTACTCGCTTGGTTCTGCTGTGTTGAATTTGCATTGACAGAACTAAACGTGTGGATACCTTAACAGGAATCCAACTACTAGCACAGATTGTCCTCACCCCCAGCACTCACATTTGTTTAAACGCCAGTTTCACACAAAGGTGCCTTTGATAAAGAAGTGTTACTTTATAAAATTTTGACCCCTGAAGACATCTTTTCCATATTTTGTTACACAAAATGAAAAGTATACATAAAGTTTTCCTGCTGCACATGAGCAAGTGATGCTTGTCTTGAACAGAGGCATTTGTGTGACTGAATTGAAGCTGGCTAAATTAGCCTGTTCTTGTGGGGTTTTTTTGGTTTTTTTTTGAGGGGGTGGTTTTCTACTGCAGAACACGTTTTTTTACTTGAAAAAATGACTTACAGAATGATGATGAATGGCTTTTTTTTTTTTTTTTTTTTTTTTGGTCTTTTTGAGACAGGGTCTCGCTATGCAGTTCAGGCTGGCCTTGAGCTCACTTTGTAGCCCAGGCTGGTCTTGAATTTGCAGTGATCCTCCTGCCTCAGCCTCCCAAGTGCTGGGATTACAGTTGTGCGCCACCACGCCCGGCAGTGATGAATGGCTTGATCCACTGGTGGTATGTTCATGATAGTCCCTTGCGTGACTGTACCACTTCTGCTACTCGTGGTAAAAACCACCTGATGGAGCAGTCATGTGTGTACTACCACTGGTTCAAGCCGGCAGGAACATGTTAATCAAAATTGGTTATTTGGCAGACATTTTCTCAAGCGAATTAAGTGACTTTTTTTTTTTTGGTTCTGAGGATTGAACCCAGGGAGCATGAGCTGCATCCGTAACCCCACACACAGTATTTTTATTTCCCAGCCCTTTCTTAAAATTTTTATTTTGAGACAGTCTCACTACATTGCCCCAGCTGGCCTCAGATTTGGAATACTCCTTCCTCAGCTTCCCATGTAGCTGGGATTACAGGTGTGTGACTCTGCAGCCAGCTGAAATGGTTATTTTTAACCAGAGAATCACATTTGTTAATGTTACTGTTGATCACATCGCAAAAGTATTTAAAGATTTGGCAAACTGGTGGATGTTAATCATAGTCATTACTCTTCTTTATGCCCAAATTGTCCCGTCTCTGGCCAGTGGCAGCCCTTCAAGTTAGTCCCTCTCTCCTGACCCCAGTAGTTTCTGACCTTGCTTCTGGAAGGGCAGGGTGACCCAGATTCAACTTCTGCATTCTCTCACCTGGACCTAGAATCAGTAGTTTCTCTGGAGCCAGGCCTGGTGGTACACATTTGTAATCCCAGCACTGGAGAGGCTGAGGCAGGAGGATTGCTGTGAGTTCAAGGCCAGCCTGGGCTACATAGTGAGTTAAAGGCCCGCCTAAGCTGCGCAGTGAGATCCTGTCTCAAAAAGACCAAAAAAAAAAGTTTCTCTGAAACTGCTTTATTTTCTCTCCTGGAAATTTTATGCTGAGATTTCTGTTTAAAACTTGGTTTATAGGGAGGTTTTTTGAGGGGGGAGGGAGGTTTACTCTTTCATTTTATGTTTGTAATTCTTATTTTTTAATGCTAAAAATTAGGAGAAAAAATAATACAAAATTAGCCAGGTGTGGTGGCATGCATCCCTAATACCAGCTATTCAGGAGGCTGAGGCATGAAGAATGATTGCTTGGGGTCAGCCTCAGCTACATACCATAGTAAGACCCTGTCTCTTAAGAAAAAGAGAGAAAAGAAAAACAAAATGAAAGAAAAAGAATACAAACTCAGAATGAACTATGCTATATCTTAAAGTCATTTGATAGCTAGTCATTGTCTCTCCAACATGTTCTCTTATTCCCTCAATATTTTAACCTTGCTACTATTTCTTGTTTTGTTTTTTTGTTATTGGAGTTTTTTTTTAATCTTTTCTTCCTGTACCAGGAATCGAACTCAGGACCTTGTGGTTGCCAGGCAGGCACTTTGCCGCTGAGCTAAATCCCCAGCCCCTAACCTTGCTACTTCTTGTTGGCTTATCTTTCATGTAGAAGCAAATACATAAACGTATTTTTATTTACACTCTTTCTTACCCAAAAGTTAGTGCACTCTTCTGCCCTGCTTCTTTTCACTAGTGTATCCTGGTGATCATTTCCCAGGAGTCCACAGAGATTTACACCATTGTCCACAGCAGCAGAGGATACTCACTTGTTTTCCTGTTGATGGGTAGTCAGGGTTTTTCCCAGGTCTTTTCTCTTCGCAAAAGATGCTGAATCCTTGCCAAATCCCCTCCCTCATGGTTGTAGGACATGTAATATACAAAAGTGCTGTTGCCCCATAGCCTCAGCAGCAAAGTATGTTGTCAAGCTTGGTTTTGGCCCATTTAGTCTTTTGTTTGCTTTCACTGTTCTTTGCTATTCAGCAGTGTTTTGTGTATCAGTCTTTTCCCTTATTAACTCTGAATATTTATTCTCGTTTTAAACTCCCAAGCTATGTGAGCAGATTCCAACCAACAGTAAACTCATGTTTATGGAAATAAATACTGAATGGTGTTGTCGTCTTTACTAAATTCTAAATTTGTGTCTGAAAGTGTGATTTTGTTTTTGTTTTTTGTCCCTCAGCATGAAGACTTTTTGCTTGCCCTGCAGATGAATGAAGAACAATATCAAAAGGTACTTGGGAGTCTCACCCAGTTGATTTATCCAGGGTGCGTGGAAGGGCTTTTCTTTAATGGCATTTCAACGACAAATGTTCCCTTTATAATCTCCTTTAGTCTGCTGAGTTGGCAGCTGACCCAGCTTGCTATCAGGAACATGAGTTAGTGCAGACACTCTTAGAACCAGTCTGAGTCAGAGTTGAAAGGAAGGTAGTGATGGAGATGTCCTTGTTAAAGACCATTGCTGGGATTGCCGGGCGTGGTGGCCTACACCTGTAATCCCAGCACTCAAGAGGCTGAGGCAGGGGGATCCTTGCAAGTTCAAGGCTAGCCTGGGCTACAAAGTGAGCTCAAGGCCAGCCTGAACTGCATAACGAGACCCTGTCTCAAAAAGACCACTGCTGGGAATCCACTACATAGACTGCTAACAGACAGTTTAGAACTCAGCACTCTGGAGTTGAAAGAAAGTGCTATGTTTGGCCTTGGGCTAGTGGCTTTCGGAGTGGTGTCTGCTGGTGTGGACAGTGTCCTTTCTAGCACGAGTAGGAACAGGCAGGTGACTGGATTCATAACTTCAGTGAATAAAGAGATTAAGGTCTGGTATGTTCCTTGAGGTTGCTGCTTTAGTGAGCTTTAGTAGTCCTTAAAATGAAGCTTGGGCTGGGTAACAGCTCCCTCACACTGCTGTGTCATAACATCCCATGCCACTTACCCCTTATTTGTATAGTAGTAACAGATAACTATAGTTTCCCAGGGCCAGGTGTGGTGGCGCACGCCTATAATCCCAGCCCTCCGGAGGCTGACGCAGGAGGATCATTGCGAGTTTGAGACCAGCCTCGGCTACAAAGTGAGCTCAAGGCCAACCTGAACTGCATAGAGAGACCCTGTCTCAAAAACACACACACAAAAAAATTATAGTCTCCCTAGTGCCATGCAGTGGATGAGTGCGATGTGATGGCTTTGTACAAAGAATTGCTTCAGTGAATACACAAAAAATGTAACTGTTCACTGTCTTTAGCTCTAGGTTAATGTACTGATATGCTGAGCTAGGTTTAGCTAGAAAAACACTGCTCATTGTTATTTCATGGCTCCTAGGGGTCACTTTTGACCTCAGAATGGGTGGGGGCTGTGGAGATGTGAGAGGTGTCACCCTTCCTCCCTCCTGTCCCCCGTGCGTGCTCAACGTGGCCGTGGGGCTCACGCGTGTCTCTGGCGGCTGCAGGACGGCCAGCTGATCGAGTGTCGCTGCTGCTATGGGGAGTTCCCATTCGAGGAGCTGACTCAGTGCGCGGATGCTCACCTGTTCTGCAAAGAGTGTCTCATCAGATACGCCCAGGAGGCAGTCTACGGGTCTGGAAAGGTAAGGACCGAGAACTCGCCACACACGGGCACCATTCAGATGCTGCAGTGTCCATATTAATACATTTTCTGGGTTGTAGAATTCTGCTGATATGTTCACGTGTGCACGATCTAATTGGTGTAATGATATTTCTAACACAAGCAGGGTGTTTCCAGGGAATGGTGGTGGAATGCTGCCATGCCCACATGTGAGGCCCCACGGGGTACCCACTCGGTCCCTCACCTTGCTGTTCATAGACTGAAGATGAACTCAGAAAGTGAGGACCTTCTTCCTGCTGCAGCATATGAGAATGCGTTACAATTTTTTATACATATTCCAAAGGGTATTATACTTGAATTAGAGTCTTTTCGGGGCTGGGGATTTAGCTCAGCAGCACAGCGCCTGCCTGGCAAGTGCAAGGTCATGAGTTTGATTCCTGGTACTGGAAGAAAAACAAAACAAAACAAAACAAAAAAACACGAATTAGAGTCTTTTTTTTGTCTTTTTGAGACAGGGCTTCACTATGCAGTTAAAGCTGGCCTTGAACTCACTTTGTAGTGAGTTGTACCTCCTGCCTCAGCCTCGTGAGTGCTCAGATTACAGGCATGCACCACCATGCCTGACCAGCATACATACATATTACAAAAACTAGTTTTATACAAGATTATATTTATCTGAAGTCAGTTTCTCTTTTTTATTTTATTTTATTTTATTTTTTGTCTTTTTGAGACAGGATCTTGCTGTGCAGTTTAGGCTGCCTTCAGCTCACTTTGTAGTCCAGGCTGGTCTCAAACTCACAGTGATCCTCCTGCCTCAGCCTCCCAAGTACTGGGATTACAGGTGTGCTCCACCACTCCCGGCTCAGTTTCTTTTTTTTAAAAATACAGTCTTTATTAATGCCTGTTAAATTTACAAAATACTGTGTTTCAATGTGATATTTTCATACATATATTTTGAGCATATCCATCCTCCATTACCCTCCCCTGCACCACCTCCCCCTGCCTCTTGTTCCCTACCCTTTGTCTAATAATAGTCTCCCTTCTGCTTTCATGTTATCTTTTTTAGATTCCACATATTAGGGAAAACTCGCCATACTTGTCTTTCTGAGTCTGGCTTACTTTTCTTAATGTGATGATTCCTGTAAATGACATAATTTCATTCTCCTTTATGGCGAAAGAGTACTCCACTGTATATATGTTCCACGTTTTCTTTATCTACTCATCTGTTGATAGGCATCAGGACTGGTTCCATATCTTGCCTTTTATGAATTGTGCCACAGTAAATATGAGTATGCAGGTACGCTGTAATATGCTGACTTTAATTCTTTTGGGAATATACAAGGAATGGTATAGCTCAGTCATATAATAGCTCTGTTTTTAGTTTTTAAAGAATCTTTCATACTGATTTCCATAGTAGCTGTATGCTATGGCCAGTATCTTGCTGTCCCTTCATGCGCTCATAGGTGGAGTTTTTCGGGGATGGCTGGATCTAGGGTGTGTGAATATGGATTAAGGGTGTGTGACAGTGGGATTAAGGGTGCATGTACTGAATGGGTCCACTAATTGGTTTGTCATAGTTCTCCCAGTGTAGGCAATGGGAAACCACCTCCTGGGTATGGGTGGTACCACCCAAAAGGTTTATAGCTTAGATGGCATAAAAGAGAAAGGGAGGCTGCCTCTTGTCTGCTCTACCATAGGCTGCTTTCTCTGCTCTGCCACCCTACCTTGGAGTCAGCCAACTATGGACTGAAACCTTCATAAACTGAGCTAAAATAAACCTTTCCTCCTTTAACTTGTGGGTTTTGGGTATTTTGTCTCAGCAGTGAGGAAATTAACTAAGCCGCTGTGATAATTTACATTCCCATCAGCAGTGTAGAAGAGTTTCTTTTTCCCCACATCCTTGGCAGCATTTTTTTTGTTTTTTTGTTTTTTTGGTTTTTTGGTTTTTCTCCGGTACCGGGAACCGAACTCACGACCTTGCGCTTGCCAGGCAGGCGCTTTTGCCACTGAGCTAAATCCCCAGCCCCTGGACAGTTTGATTTTTTTAGTGTCAAATTTTTTGAGTTCTTTATATAGTCTAGATGTTACTCTTCTGTTGGAAGAGTGGCTGACAAATATTTTCTCCTCTAGGCCTTCTCTTTACTCTGTTGTTTATTTCCTGAGCCGTGCAAAAAATTTAGTTTGATATCATCTCATTTCTTGATTCAATTATTTCCTGTGCTGTTGGAGTTCTACTAGAGAAATTTTTGCCTGTGCCTATGGCTTCAAGTGTTTTCCCTAGGTTTTCTTCAAGCACTTCCAATGGTCTAGATCTTATACCTAGGTCTTTGATCCATTTTGAAGTGATTTTTGTACAAGGTGAGAGTTTCAGTTTGAGTAGTTTCAGTCTCCTGCGTGTGGTTATTCAGTTTTCCCAACACTGTCTGTTAAAGAGGCTGTGTTTTCTCCAACATACATTTGTGGCTCCTTGCCCATACTTACATAGCTGTAGTTGTACGGGTTTGTTTCTGTGTCCTGTCTTCTACTCCACTGGTCTTTGTGTCTGTTTTTGTGCCACTCTATGCTGGTTTTGTTACTATGGCTTTGTAACACAATTTGAAATCAAGTATTGTGATGCTTCCAGCTTTGCTTTTTTGCTTAGGATTGCTTTAGCTACTCTGAGTCTTTGTGGTTCCATATGAATTTTAGGATTGTTTTATCTAGTTCCATAAAGAATATTTTTAGCCAGGAGTGGTGGTGCACGCCTGTAATCCCAGCACTCAGGAGGCTGAGGCAGGAGGATTGTTGGGAGTTTGAGGCCCGCCTAAACTGTACAGCGAGACCTTGTCTCAAAAAGACCAAAAGAAAACAAAAAAGAATGTTTTTAGAATTTTGGTAGGGATTGCATTGAGTCTCTGGATCACTTTTGATGGTATAGCCATTTTAACAACCCTGATTTCACCAGTCCATGAACATGGACATTCTTTCCATTTCCTAGTGTCTTCGCTTTCTTCAGAGGTCTCTAATTTTCACTGTAGAAGTCTTCATGTCCTTGGCTGGACTGAGTCCTGGAGTGTTTTGGTTTTTTTTTTTTTTTTTTTAACTATTGTGAATAGAATTTTTTTCTTGATTTCTTTCTCAGCTAGTTCATTATTGGTATATAAAACTTTTTTTAACTTCAGGGTTTTTTTGTTGTTTTTTTTTTAATATCCAGCAAAGTCTATTTCTCTTAACACTGGTGTAAAACAGTGTGGAATGAAGTTACATACTGTTTTAGACGCTGCATTTGTGGGATCTGGTTCTAGCAGCAATACAGAACTAACGGGGTCATTTAGAACATGGCATGCTTTGCATCACCAGTCATAAAACATACAAGCATCATACACTTACTGGTTATATAGCAAGCAATTGTCATAAGTGCCCAATTTTACTGTAATACTCAGACATACCCAAATTGCGAAGCATTGTATAAAATTACTGACCAGTTCTCCTCAGAAGTACCAATATTGTGAAAGACTAAAAAATATTGAGAAACTATCTAGCAAGATAAAGAGAAAAAACAGTTAAAAGCCTTGGGTTCTTCCACTATACACTAAGAACACAGATCACCTGTGTGACCCCAAAATGTGTGGGGATTTCTTCCCAGCAGGCAGTCAGTTTTGCAGGGGACACACCAGCTGGGCATCCTCTAAGTCCAGTTCAGACACTGTCTGCTAGAGATACTGTTGTGTTCCTTAGATAGAAGAATCAGTCCCAGAGATTGTCCCCATTTCAGAAACCAGTTCCAAGTCCAGGTCTCTAAAACTTCTGACTTGACTGGCTACAAATTAAGATTCTTACCACTTGCTGGTTTGCTATGTAGTTCAACTGGCCTTGAACTTTCAGTTCTCCAGCTTCAGCCTCCTGAGCTCTGGGATTACAGGTGTATGCCATTATAAGTTTCTTGACTTATTCTGTAGACTTAATTTGCTACAGGCAGCTCGCAGAACTCAGGAAAATACTTATTTATATTTATGTGTTTATTATTGGGGATATTATAAAAGAAACAAGTAGGCAGCAAAAGAGATACATAGGGCCAGGTCCTGAGCTCAGGAGCATCTGTCCCATAGAGTGGGGGTGCCACCTTCACGGCATATACACAGATTCTTGCTCACCTTTCTGTAAGCCTGCATATGTTCAGCTATCTGAAGTTCTTTGAGCTTTTATGGAGACTTCACTGCACAGGCATGACTGAAACATTACAACCTTTCACAAATGTGATTGGACAGAAAAAATGTGAGCTCATGGAAATAGACTAAGTGAGGGAGCCCAGTGGGGCCTGTCTTTTCAGATTTTTTTTTTTTTTTTTTTTTTGACCCTGTACAGCATTTTCCTAGTCTTAGAGCGTGGCCCCTTCCAGAGTGGAAGTCATAGCTAGGTGTAGTGGCGCACATCATTAATCCCGGCACTTGGGAGGTAGAGGCAGAAGTATCACTGTGAGTTCAAGGCCAGTCTGAACTACATAGTGAGACTTCGTCTCTAAATAAATAAATGAATGAACGAGTCTTATGATCGGCTATCACATCAAGTAGGGCAGATAATTTCTTTATGACCAGGTTTAAAACAGAGGCAGAAAAGGGGGCAGGGAGACGACGGCCAACGCTGCCCTCAGCCCCTACTCCCAGCCCACCTTGTCACCCCAGCCTGGAGGGCGCGAGATGCTAATCAGTGGCCTAGCCAAGGAAGCTGGAGCCAGGCGGAGCCTCAGTCATGCCAAGAGAAGTTCAGAGGTTCAAAAATCACACTCCTGCTTTCACAAAGCTTGGCTGCCAGAGCACTGTGAATGTAAACAGCCTCAAACTCAGGTTGTCCGAAGCTGGGCAAGAATATCTGCTGCAGTTCTGGAATGAGCTGGAAGAAGCCCAACAGGTGGAACTTTAGGCAGAGCTCCAGGCCGTGAACTTTGAGGAGCTGAATTTCTTTTTCCAAAAGGCTGTTGAAAGATTTCACCAGTCTTCTCACCAAGAGAAAGAAGATGCATGAATGAAACCTGTCCCTCAAGAGGTGTTGGGTAGTGCTACAAGGGATCAAGAGCAGCTCCAGGCCTAGAAAAGTGAAGGACTTTTCCAGATTTCTCAGAATAAAATAGCAGTTCTTCTTCTAGCGGGGCAGGGACAAGACTTGGAGTTGCATACCCCAAGGGAATGTATGATACTGGTTTACCATCCGATAAGACGCTTTCTCAGATTCAAGCAGAGGTACATTGAAGCTACAGCTGTTAGCTGAAAAATATTACGGCAACAAACATACCATCCCCTGGTATATTAAGACCACTAACAGAATAATGGAAGCAACAAAGCTCTTCATAAAGCACAGGTACTTTAATTTTAAAAAAGAGAATGTGACAAAGGAGTTCTTCACAAACTATAAGTACTTTGGTTTGTTTTTTTTGTTTTTAATTTTTTTTTAGTACTTCGGTTTTTAAAAAAAGAGAACATAATCTTTTTTCAGTAGGAAATGTTGTCTGCTGTGAGTTTTGATGGGAAAATTATATTGGAAGAGAAGAACAAAGTTTCTGTGGCCCCAGATGGAAATACGGGGTCTTTATTGGGCTCTTGGGGACAAGAATATTGTGAGGATGTAGAACAAAGAGGTATTTGGTGTGTTTATGTCTCTTGTGTGGGCAGTGTATTGGTAGAAGTGGCAGGCCTACAGTTTATTGGATTTTGCAATCAGAAAGGAGCAGACTGGGGCAAAGATGGTAGAGAAGACAGACACCACAGAACCAGTTAGCGTGGTCTGCCAAGTGGACAGTTTACCAGGTGGCAGCCTATAGTGAAATTTCTCCCTGACAACAGCTCAGAAATGAAGCGCAGATGGACGACTGCTGTTCAATGTGGGCAACATTACCAGTCATTTCTTTACCATAGCATTTCTGAGAGATGTTGTCAGTGTTTATGAACCTCAACTACAGCACCATGTACTTCAAAGGAAGATTCTGTAAGTGAATTCCCAGGGCAAGTTAATTAAGCCAGACAGAATAAAGATAGAAAAATTTGTCTTTGAAATCTCCCAGTTTGCGAAGAAGTTTGTGGTATATGAAGTATTACAGGAGAAGAGTTTTCTCCCACTAAAGAATGCAGACAGTCAGAATAAGAAGGACAGCCCAACAACTGCAAGGCAGATGCTTTGATGTCCCATCACCATTGCTGGGTTATCAGTGCAGGGAGCCACTTTATAGATGAGAATGATTCTCGCCTTCCAGCAGTTCCCTGCTTGAAGGATGCCAGTGAGTACCAGTCCAGTGTGAAATCCCTCCTCTTATCTCCCATGTTGTAGAAGGACTAGAAGGTTATGTGGCAGATAAAGAATTCCATGCAGCTTTGATTACTGATGAGAATGGAGTCCATGAGCTGGTGAAAAATGGTATATGAGCCATATACCAAGTTCCACCCCAACAGGGAAGAGCTTATTATTTTTGATAGAACAACTGTGAACCTATAGGACCTCTCCTAGAACACTGAAGTTTGAACTTTTTTTTTTTTTTTTTTGGTCTTTTTTGAGACAGGGTCTTGATAAGCAGCTCAGGCTGGCCTTGAGCTCACTTTGTAGCCCAGGCTGGTCTCAAACTCGCAGTGATCCTCCTGCTTCAACCTCCCGAGCGCTGGGATTACAGGCATGCACCACCATGCCCAGCAATAAGTTTGAACATTTACAGGATTTCATTTTGCTTATGGAGCTCTTACAACTACTACAAACTTCCCAAGATCCAGATGATTAAACTTCAGATAGCATTTTTCTGATTCTCAATTCATTGAAGGTCTTATTTGTATTTTCCGGTTGTCTCATTTATTTCCAAGACAAAGAAAACATTGGCCATCTAGGAAATTTCTTAGAACTTAAGTATAGTCAGGATGTTCAGCATCACTTAGAGCTGGAAGTTTTTGTCTTTAAAGTTGTACATACTAATAATATGTCACTGTACATGTCAGAAGGTTTCTATGATACTAGAAGTTGTTTTACTTTATCAAACGTTAAACTTTTTAAGAAAATAATTGGACAGTAAAATAATACTACCTTTTTATCTCTGGAAAAAGGAAAAATACAAAAGGCAGGGAAGGATTACAGTATATTTTTAGTTTCTGTGACCATCATTGCAGAAGAGAAATTCTAGTTTCTGTGGCCTACCCTGGGGAGAAAAAAGGTAAGGGCACAAGAAGATCAGAGAGATGACAGGAGAGACAGAGTGAGAGAAACAGAGACTGAGGCTTTGTTTTCTGAGGCCTAAGCCATCCCAACATTATCACAAAAGACTGCCAGGACTACCATTCATATTTATCACTCTGAAATTATTTTGAAACTGTTTTAGAAACTTAAGGACCAGGCTGGGCATGGTAGTGCACATCTGTAATCCTAGCACTCAGGAGACTGAGGCAGGATGATTGCTGGGAGTTCAAGGCCAGCCTGCGCTACAAAGTGAGATCAAGGCCAGCCCAAACTGCATAGTGAGACTCTTTCTCAAAAAGACAAAAAAAAAGAAATAGAAGCTAAGGACCAAAGGCCAAATACTTTAGTCATTCAAGAAATAACAAGAGCCATTAGAATCATAAGCCCGAAACTGGATGAAAACCAAAATGTATTGGTCATAGTATCACACTGACACAAGTTACAAAAGACAGAGGAGACATGGCAGCTAGATGGCACATGATTGTGGCCTGTGGGAGAATACACGAATGGAAAACTGTTGAAATCTAAATAAAGACTGTGGCTTAATGAATAGGATTGCACCGTTGTTAACTTTGGGTTTTAATTAAATATATTTTGGCTATATGTGACATTAACATTAGGAGGAGCTGGGTAAAGATGATTTGGGAACTCTATGCTATTCTTGCAACTTTTATAGGTCCCATAATACAATATTTCAAAGTATAAAATGGTTTTGTTTTTCAAAAAGTGTGACCTTGGAGTACCACAGAGAACTTTGGACCTTAGGCCTTCCACTGACTGACTGGGCAACCTTGAGCAAATAAGTTAAATTTTCAGCCCCTTCCTCTTTAGAATGGAGACACTCACTGGATTGTTGTAAACAGTAAAAGAGATTGTCGAAGCAACATCATAGACTTTAGCTGTTGTTGTTTTTAAGATACATTTCTCCATGTGTTAGATTTGGTGTTTTATCTTTCTGATCAGAAGTGTTCTTCAAATGTCTGGAAGTTTTGTATTGAAGAGCATTTGGAAGCTGTTTAAGTAGTGGGGCTCAGAGACTGATGAGTCTGACTCTAGCTCCAGATGGCCAGTTAGTGCTTCGTGCTGTAAACCCCAGAATACAGTCTTACGTCTTTTTTGCTGGGTTCAGATATGAAGCCCACCTTCCTGCATTGTGGAGCTGAGTGGGAGGCTATTCAGTGTGCAGCCTTCACTTGAGCCCTTACTTAGACCTCAGTTCACACCTCAGTTCTGCCTTCCCTGACTGGTTCCCTTTTGTTCTGGCTATTCGTAAGTTTTTATCCTTTCTGCAGGAGTCTGCTGATTGCATCAGGAAGGGTAATAGCTGAAGGCCCCTGCTGTCTCATTTCTTGTTTATTCATATCAATTCCCACCCTATCCTCACTACTCAGCTGTCCTCTCAAGGGCTCTCTCACTTTCCAGGATCTGGAGAGGGGAACAGCTCCCTTCTCTACGGCTTCACATTTTCAGACATAGAGCTAAGGCCTTTTTCCAGTCCACTGGCAGTGTGCCATCCTTCCTGTCTTCGCGGATTGTGGTTTGGGCTGCTAGAGGCCCTGTAGCGGTATCACTCTGGACTTTGTGTTTTGTCCTATGGTTTCTTTGTTTGGGATGTGTTTTCTCAGAAAGGAAGTCACAGAGCGATCTTTGCCTCCCACTGAGAGATCCATTTAACCTTTTCATTCCCTTGTCATTTTAGTCAGAGCTCAGCTGCATGGAAGGCAGCTGCACCTGTTCCTTCCCAACCAGTGAGCTGGAGAAGGTGCTTCCACAGACCATCCTGTATAAATACTACGAGCGAAAAGCCGAAGAGGAAGTTGCTGCTGCCTATGCTGATGAGCTTGTCAGGTGAGTTCACAGCATCTCCCAAGTGTAAAGACATCCTGCTACATCCTGCAGGTTTTCTGTCATGTCTTACTAAGAAATAAATAGTTAATTTTATTAACAGAAAAATCTATAGATTGAATCTTTTATCTGTATGTCTTGCTACCTCCTAATCTTCTGGCCTGTGAGTACAGTCATTGTACCCTGAGTTAGAGATAAAATGTGCAAGGAATTTTCATAAAGGGTGGAGTATATGTTTATTGAGGGCACTGGCACTGAGTTGGGACCTAGAATGGTATCTGTGTATTTTGGTAAGAGCCAGTACAAAAAGAGACTTAGTCCATGTTTTAACGCAAACCAACAAGTAAAAATTCAGTATTGCTGTCCACTTCAGAACTCCCTCTTAGTAGGAGCAGTCATGTGAAACCAAAGCAGGCTTTCATGCTGAGTCTTGCTGCTTCTGCCTTTTTGACCTCAGGTGCCCCTCCTGCAGCTTTCCTGCTCTGTTGGACAGTGATGTAAAGAGGTTCAGCTGTCCTAACCCTCGCTGCCGGAAGGTAAGGAGGCATTTTTTTTCTGTACATATATTTGAATTTTGGTATTATGGGCAACCCCAATGGCCCTTGTGTATCTGCATGCTGGTGCATGAGAAGATTTGACTGTTCTCATTTTCTTAAAAGCAGAGATCAGTACTGTGTGAATGGCGGTTGACATGGTTACAGAGATGGGTCTGTTCTGCATTTCATGTTAGAAAGCTTTGGATCCATTTTACGCCATGTTCTTGCAAAGACAAATGCTGTTACATACAATGTGAAGCATTTTGTTTTTCTTCTCTGCGTCTTCAGTTTCCTTGCTTTCGCTTTTTGTTCTGCTCAAATGCAAACCCCCACCCGCACTCACAATTTTCTTGCCATTCTCAAAGTCAGAGCAACACTCCTTTAAAGAACTGGGCAGTGTGGTGGTATCTCTGTCGTGTCCGGTAGGTTTTCTACGTGACTGTTCTTAAAAGAACTCACTGTATCAGGGGAGACCAGAACCGAACCATCCAGTCACTTTACTGCTGCAGATCTTTCTTCTCTTTAACTAGATTCCCATTCTGTGAGCTAAAAATGTTTTTGGAGTTACCATTTGTAAGCCACTTCGGAGTTTTTAGTGAATATTGGCATCCACCTAGACTAATTGTTTTAAGCCATTTTCCTAAAGCCATATAATCAAAGTTGAGCATTGCAGTATTTTGTAGAGAGGGAAGAAATTGAGGTGGATATTGGAAAAGAAGGAAGAAACTAAAGTAATAAAGTGAAACTTTGCCCTTTTTGATTTTAAAATTAATATTTCTGTGAATTTCAAAATTAATGTTTCTTTCAAAAATTAATATTTCTTTACCCCTTTTGATGTCAAAATTAATATTTCCATCCATCTGTGTTCTTACAGCTGATAAGGCTATTTAACCATTTGTCCCCACCCCAGGCTGTCACCATAATTATCCTCATGGTATCTGACCTACTGGAACTAAGCATAATGCCCTACTGTCTGTGTGTGGAGTATGTCAGGCACTGAAATGCTTGGAAAGGAGATGTCTGAGGTACAGAGCAAGGAGAGTGTAGCCAAAGGCGGGAAGGGGCGAGAGATGGCACAAAAATGGAAAGATGTTCCGAGCCAAAGAAACAGTGATAGCCTGGACCGTTGACTGGTAGCAGGATTGCAAAGGAGGCTCAGGAGCTAGGTTTGTGCAGGGCCTTGAAGCCACTCTGTGAGGAAAAGGTAAATACCAAGAGCTGTTTGGCTGCTCAGTGGTCTAGATGAGGTATATACATTGCTGCCAGCTCCTCTGGGTTTCTGTGAATTGGGTGGAAAGCTGAAAACTACATTTCCTTGGAGGATTTAGTAATATGGGCCAGGGAGAGTGCAGATATACTATATGGAAGCCAAGAGAGATCATTCTCCAGAGACATTGAGAAACAGCAGGAGGATACACCCCAGTCCAAGACAGTGCCTAGTGAGTGTGTGGAACATCAGCTTGGGATATCTGTGGGAGCTTCCTAGAGGCGCCAGGATGCCAGTTAGGAACACTGAATACTCTTCTTCCTCTCTGTGGAGGAATATACATGCCTTGCTGAAATTGAAAGTAGCCAGTTAGTTTCTTTTGGCCAATGAAATTTGCATGTGAATAGATCACATCCAGAAAACCAAAAAAACAAAAACCAAAAAACCACTTAAGAACAAATATAGTGGTAGAACTAGCACACACTCACCATTGCCTTTCCCAAGCTCATTGCCAAATAGGCAGTAGGAAACCCAACTTCCTGCTTCTCCCCAGGGAGGGAAAGAATTGAAGCATTAACCTAGCATTCTAGTATTTCAGGACCCTGACCAAGACAGTTTTTTGTCTCAGCCAGGTCAGAGCACTTACAGGATCTGGTATAATCTACATGTATGGGTGTCACTGAGAACAAAGAATGCCAGACAGCTTGTGCTCCTCCAGAGGAACCAGAGTATAGTATACACAGCCCAGGATACCTCAGAAATGTCTCCCCTGGGTAATGGGAAAAAGGAACAGCAGTCATGACTGTGGCCAGGAACAGCAGAGTGCTGCTGTGTACTGATTGTGGAATGAGATAATATCATGCAAGATGGCTAAATCTTTATTGGCACAGTACCTTTAAGCCTTCTGACAAGCATATGAATTTGATCCTCTGTGGTTCAGGAAGATCAATCCAAGGAAGGTAGAACAGCCAGAGCATGAAGAAAAGTGGGTTTTGAGTCTGATCTTGCTGGGTGAGGAGAACTTGGTAATTATGACTGTAGAAGGACCACCCCCTAAAGATACTGGCATTACTTGGGTACCACTTGCTGGGGCTGCGGGAGGCACAGGATCAGGACAGCAGCTGACAGAGGTGTACTGGCTGGTGTATCACTTCCCCAGGCTTCTGCTGGATTAGTAGGCCCTCCCCAAGGAGGCAGAGTCCATCCCAACAGGTAATGACTGCACAGAAGTACTGTACCAGCTGCTGCTGTTGCTATAACTGCCAGCATTCCTAGAGCCCCAACCCAGTACCTATCAGGGAGCTTCTGCCCCTTGCAAAGCAACACTACCTCAAGGCACTGTGGCTCCTCTACTTGGTGTGAAACTGCCCCAGCTCACCAGTTGGGCTTCCTCCTTCTTGAGGGGTACCAGTAGTAGTCATGCTCCTTCCCAGAATTAGAGGTCTGCCTCCCCACAGAATGTGTCCACCAAGACCCAAGAACACTGCTAATGCCATCTCAGTCACTTTTTTCCCTAAAGTACAATTTGTGAAATTGTGTAGATTGTGAGCTTTTACCCTCTTTGTACATTAACAGTAGCTAATAATAAGTGCGTAGAGCAACTAAAAAAGATGCCATGATATGTGATACCAGTAACTGGGGGATGGCAGAAAAGGATACATTTAAAGTCATCTTAAAAATTATTATAAATACAAGATTTCTTATGTAAGTCCCATGGTAACTACGAGGAAAACACCTGTAGAAGATACACAGAAAATAAGAAAGGAGTCAGAACATGTCACAAAAAAAATGAAGCTGGGCTCAAGGAGTATAGGTCAGTACTTGGCATGTTTTAAGGTCCTGAGGTCCATCCAGCACCATAGAAGGGGAGGGGAAGACTACACACACACACAAAAAAAAAAACAAAGATGGGAGTAAGGCCTTCCCTGTGGGGAAATGCTTTAGGTATAAATGATTTAGACATCCCAAATCAAATACACAGAGTGACTGAATGGATAAAAGCAATCAAGATCCAACTATATATTTTCTATAACAGACTCATATCAGATTTGTAGATACATATAGGATGAAGGTGAAAAGATAGAAAATGTATTCCATGCAAATGATAATTAGAAGAGAACAGTATTAAACATACTTGCACAAAATAGACTTAAGTCAAAAAGTGTTACAATGGATAAAGAAGGTCCAGGCAAGGTGGTGCACATCTGTGATCCTAGCACTTAGGAGGCTGATGCAGGAGGATTGCTGTGAGTTCGAGGCCAGCCTGGGCTACATAGTTAGTTCAAGACCAGTCTGAACTAGCAAGACCCTGTCTCAAAGAAGAAAAAAAAAAAAAAGGCAAGTATATTCTGTCATACTAAAAGGATTGATTCACCAGGAAGATATACCAGTTACAAGTACCCAGGCAGCCCTCCATATGTGTGGATTCCACATCATGTATTCAGCCAACCACAGATGGAAAATACCAGTTTGGGGGAATAAGTTTTCTCTGTACTGAACATGTTCAGACCTTTTTTTTTCTTTGTCATTATTCCCTAAACAATACAATATCAAAACCATTTGCATAGTGCTATATGGAAGGATGCTATAGATTATATGCAGATATTGTGGTTCTGGTGGAATTTTTGGGGTTTCCTTTGGTTTGGTTCGGTTTGGTTTGGTTTGAGACAGTCTCACTATGTAATTCAGGCTGGCTTTGAATTTACTATGTAGCCCGGGCTGGCCTTGAACTCACAAGCAATCCTCCTGTCTCAGCCTCTGGAGTACTAGGATTACAGGCATGCACCATTACACTTGGCTACTATGCCTTTTGTCTTGTTTTGTTTTGTTTTTGTAGGGATTAGATTTAAGGCCAAACCTTTTTTTTTCTCATGGTAAGGCCTTCATACTTTATTTTTTGGGGATTGGGGAGGGGTACCAGGAATCAAACTCATGACCTCACACTTGCCAGGCTATGCTGCTGAGCTATATCCCCAGCCCTATTTTTTTTAATTTAGTGATAATTTCTCACTAAGTTGCCCAGGCTAGGTTTTTATTTGCAGTCTTCCTGCCTTAGCCTCCAAGATTACTGGGATTACAGGCTTGTGTGCCATTTTATGAGACAGTAGAGCATCAGCAGATTTTGGTATTGGGTGGGGGGGTGTCTTGGATCCAGTTGCCCCTGGATACCAAAGAATGACTCTTTATGCACCCAAAAGCAGTGTACCCAAATAAATGAAGGAAACATTGAACTGAAGTAGCAACACAAAAACAGGATATTTTAGTATCACACTTTCATTAGTGGTAGAAAAAAAACGAGGAAAGAATAATAAGGAAACAGCTGATTTCACCAACATTCAGACCAAAGGAACCTAACAGGTATATATAGAACTTGCTACCTAACAGGACCAGAAAATACATTTTTCTCAAGCACACAAAATTTTCCATTATAGAGAATTGGATCACACACATTACATCATGGTCCAATGGCTTTAAAAAGATTGGGAGCTTACTACGTATCTTTCCTGCCCACCATGGAATGAAACTAGAAATTGCTAGCAGCAGGAAAATGGAAAAATTCACAAATATGTGGAAATTAAACAAACTGGAAAGCTTTTCTGCTCAGATCAGGATTAAGGTGAGGGTGTTGTTGCTAGCCCAGACACCCAAGGTGATTGGCTTTTGAAGAGGGAAGGCTTGTTTGGCTTCTGGCTTTGGAGTCCCTTCCATGATCACTTGGTCCCATTGTTCTGGGCAGGAGTACAGGACAGAACGAACCAGTAGCCAGGAAGCAAAAGAGAAAAAAAGACAGCAT